GGAAAATTATATGAAAAAGAAAATAAATTTGGCAGGCTAAAACCTAATAACTTTTATTTTCTTATAAAACTTATTTTCAATTATGGAAAATTATATGAAAAAGAAAATAAATTTGGCAGGCTAAAACCTAATAACTTTTATTTTCTTATAAAACTTATTTTCAATTATGGAAAATTATATGAAAAAGAAAATAAATTTGGCAGGCTAAAATTTAATAACTTTTATTTTCTTATAAAACTTATTTTCAATTATGGAAAATTATATGAAAAAGAAAATAAATTTGGCAGGCTAAAACCTAATAACTTTTATTTTCTTATAAAACTTATTTTCAATTATGGAAAATTATATGAAAAAGAAAATAAATTTGGCAGGCTAAAACCTAATAACTTTTATTTTCTTATAAAACTTATTTTCAATTATGGAAAATTATATGAAAAAGAAAATAAATTTGGCAGGCTAAAACCTAATAACTTTTATTTTCTTATAAAACTTATTTTCAATTATGGAAAATTATATGAAAAAGAAAATAAATTTGGCAGGCTAAAATTTAATAACTTTTATTTTCTTATAAAACTTATTTTCAATTATGGAAAATTATATGAAAAAGAAAATAAATTTGGCAGGCTAAAACCTAATAACTTTTATTTTCTTATAAAACTTATTTTCAATTATGGAAAATTATATGAAAAAGAAAATAAATTTGGCAGGCTAAAATTTAATAACTTTTATTTTCTTATAAAACTTATTTTCAATTATGGAAAATTATATGAAAAAGAAAATAAATTTGGCAGGCTAAAACCTAATAACTTTTATTTTCTTATAAAACTTATTTTCAATTATGGAAAATTATATGAAAAAGAAAATAAATTTGGCAGGCTAAAATTTAATAACTTTTATTTTCTTATAAAACTTATTTTCAATTATGGAAAATTATATGAAAAAGAAAATAAATTTGGCAGGCTAAAACCTAATAACTTTTATTTTCTTATAAAACTTATTTTCAATTATGGAAAATTATATGAAAAAGAAAATAAATTTGGCAGGCTAAAACCTAATAACTTTTATTTTCTTATAAAACTTATTTTCAATTATGGAAAATTATATGAAAAAGAAAATAAATTTGGCAGGCTAAAACCTAATAACTTTTATTTTCTTATAAAACTTATTTTCAATTATGGAAAATTATATGAAAAAGAAAATAAATTTGGCAGGCTAAAATTTAATAACTTTTATTTTCTTATAAAACTTATTTTCAATTATGGAAAATTATATGAAAAAGAAAATAAATTTGGCAGGCTAAAACCTAATAACTTTTATTTTCTTATAAAACTTATTTTCAATTATGGAAAATTATATGAAAAAGAAAATAAATTTGGCAGGCTAAAATTTAATAACTTTTATTTTCTTATAAAACTTATTTTCAATTATGGAAAATTATATGAAAAAGAAAATAAATTTGGCAGGCTAAAACCTAATAACTTTTATTTTCTTATAAAACTTATTTTCAATTATGGAAAATTATATGAAAAAGAAAATAAATTTGGCAGGCTAAAACCTAATAACTTTTATTTTCTTATAAAACTTATTTTCAATTATGGAAAATTATATGAAAAAGAAAATAAATTTGGCAGGCTAAAACCTAATAACTTTTATTTTCTTATAAAACTTATTTTCAATTATGGAAAATTATATGAAAAAGAAAATAAATTTGGCAGGCTAAAATTTAATAACTTTTATTTTCTTATAAAACTTATTTTCAATTATGGAAAATTATATGAAAAAGAAAATAAATTTGGCAGGCTAAAACCTAATAACTTTTATTTTCTTATAAAACTTATTTTCAATTATGGAAAATTATATGAAAAAGAAAATAAATTTGGCAGGCTAAAATTTAATAACTTTTATTTTCTTATAAAACTTATTTTCAATTATGGAAAATTATATGAAAAAGAAAATAAATTTGGCAGGCTAAAACCTAATAACTTTTATTTTCTTATAAAACTTATTTTCAATTATGGAAAATTATATGAAAAAGAAAATAAATTTGGCAGGCTAAAACCTAATAACTTTTATTTTCTTATAAAACTTATTTTCAATTATGGAAAATTATATGAAAAAGAAAATAAATTTGGCAGGCTAAAACCTAATAACTTTTATTTTCTTATAAAACTTATTTTCAATTATGGAAAATTATATGAAAAAGAAAATAAATTTGGCAGGCTAAAACCTAATAACTTTTATTTTCTTATAAAACTTATTTTCAATTATGGAAAATTATATGAAAAAGAAAATAAATTTGGCAGGCTAAAACCTAATAACTTTTATTTTCTTATAAAACTTATTTTCAATTATGGAAAATTATATGAAAAAGAAAATAAATTTGGCAGGCTAAAACCTAATAACTTTTATTTTCTTATAAAACTTATTTTCAATTATGGAAAATTATATGAAAAAGAAAATAAATTTGGCAGGCTAAAATTTAATAACTTTTATTTTCTTATAAAACTTATTTTCAATTATGGAAAATTATATGAAAAAGAAAATAAATTTGGCAGGCTAAAACCTAATAACTTTTATTTTCTTATAAAACTTATTTTCAATTATGGAAAATTATATGAAAAAGAAAATAAATTTGGCAGGCTAAAACCTAATAACTTTTATTTTCTTATAAAACTTATTTTCAATTATGGAAAATTATATGAAAAAGAAAATAAATTTGGCAGGCTAAAACCTAATAACTTTTATTTTCTTATAAAACTTATTTTCAATTATGGAAAATTATATGAAAAAGAAAATAAATTTGGCAGGCTAAAACCTAATAACTTTTATTTTCTTATAAAACTTATTTTCAATTATGGAAAATTATATGAAAAAGAAAATAAATTTGGCAGGCTAAAATTTAATAACTTTTATTTTCTTATAAAACTTATTTTCAATTATGGAAAATTATATGAAAAAGAAAATAAATTTGGCAGGCTAAAATTTAATAACTTTTATTTTCTTATAAAACTTATTTTCAATTATGGAAAATTATATGAAAAAGAAAATAAATTTGGCAGGCTAAAACCTAATAACTTTTATTTTCTTATAAAACTTATTTTCAATTATGGAAAATTATATGAAAAAGAAAATAAATTTGGCAGGCTAAAATTTAATAACTTTTATTTTCTTATAAAACTTATTTTCAATTATGGAAAATTATATGAAAAAGAAAATAAATTTGGCAGGCTAAAATTTAATAACTTTTATTTTCTTATAAAACTTATTTTCAATTATGGAAAATTATATGAAAAAGAAAATAAATTTGGCAGGCTAAAACCTAATAACTTTTATTTTCTTATAAAACTTATTTTCAATTATGGAAAATTATATGAAAAAGAAAATAAATTTGGCAGGCTAAAATTTAATAACTTTTATTTTCTTATAAAACTTATTTTCAATTATGGAAAATTATATGAAAAAGAAAATAAATTTGGCAGGCTAAAACCTAATAACTTTTATTTTCTTATAAAACTTATTTTCAATTATGGAAAATTATATGAAAAAGAAAATAAATTTGGCAGGCTAAAACCTAATAACTTTTATTTTCTTATAAAACTTATTTTCAATTATGGAAAATTATATGAAAAAGAAAATAAATTTGGCAGGCTAAAACCTAATAACTTTTATTTTCTTATAAAACTTATTTTCAATTATGGAAAATTATATGAAAAAGAAAATAAATTTGGCAGGCTAAAACCTAATAACTTTTATTTTCTTATAAAACTTATTTTCAATTATGGAAAATTATATGAAAAAGAAAATAAATTTGGCAGGCTAAAACCTAATAACTTTTATTTTCTTATAAAACTTATTTTCAATTATGGAAAATTATATGAAAAAGAAAATAAATTTGGCAGGCTAAAACCTAATAACTTTTATTTTCTTATAAAACTTATTTTCAATTATGGAAAATTATATGAAAAAGAAAATAAATTTGGCAGGCTAAAATTTAATAACAAAAACCTTTTTTGCATTACCACCCGCCCCAAGGGAAACAATTAAAAACACGAACATTCATATTGGGCACAAAACCCTTTTTAATACGAAATTCAACTGGTGAGATTCTTTCAATAAATTGTAATTCATCTTGGTATGTACGGGGTATTATGTAAAATTAAGCAAAATTTTGGTAAGGGTCTGAAGAATAACAAAAAATTGCTCGATACTTTTCCCAAGTAAATAAGAGGAGAAATTGATTATCTGTCAAAAAAAAATTTTTGAAAACAAACATTAGCGAGAAATTATAAAATGGTTAAGAACAATAAACGGGAGGTAGAAGTGAATTTTTTTCTCGCGCCGGGACAATTCGTTTTTAATATTTGATTAAAACAAAGATTTCGGCTTGTTTCGGCGAGGCCAAAAATCACGCATATAAGGTCAGCAAGAGCTCGAAACTTTAATATTTATGGATACGGATAACGAAGTACAACAAGGAAAGTAAAATAAAGTAAAAAACAAAAAAAATTTTTTTAATCTGTTTTCTATTCTTTATTTCTCTACCCACACACTATCTTATTTTAATTCAAAATTAACACAACGCCAAACACAGCGCAAAAATGATAAACAAACTGAGGATAAACACGGCAACTTCTAAAATAAACTAGTAAATCTTCTAAATAAAATATTTTAAGCTCAAAAACAGACTAGACTACATATTTTAATTCTAGAGTTCGCAACTATTCTAGCCCAGGACTGGGTTTTCCGGGCCTTTGAAGAAAAAATAAACTTTGAACCTAGTATGTAGCTCGGCACCTGTTATTTTAATGAAATACGGTTTTTTGGGGTTTTCTGTTTTTCTGTGCTTTTTTCCTGAGCCCGTAAAACCAGGACCGTGTCAGCTTGAAAGAAAAAACCCTAATACCGTTCCCGGCAATTTGAATATGTCTAACTCAATTTAATACAAACTTTACAAAAATATAAATTTGAGGTTTTTCATAAAAATTATTAACATAAAATGTTCAATTATTCTTCCCATTTTTCTCCTCATCTTTATTTAGCCATTCAGGTGCTTCCATTTCCAAAATTTTTAAAGCATCATTAATGCTACTTTTTGCCCTCATTTTAATACATTCCATTTTTTCTTTGAATTCTGGATCATTTTCTGGCGTTCCTCTTTCAAAAAACGGAATTTCCATAACCCTGCCAATAGCTTGTGAAATAATTGCCAAATTGTAAACGTGTTGAAGCTTTAAAAAATTAAAAATATTTTCTTTAATATTGTATGATCGTGGGAAATCTTGCAATATTCTAATCGTTATCCGAAGTCGACTCCGTTATTAGAATTTGAACCATATATTCTAATCCAATAACCAAATTCATATTCGATACCCATTTAGAAAATTTTTCAAGAATTCGTATACGGAACCTAAATTTTTATTAAACTAATGAAGATTGTTGGTGTCGGAGAGGGTATTGGGAATAATTTTCAGGGAGGCTAGAACATTGTGGTGGAAGGCCAAATTTTGGAAGGCCTAAATAAATTTCTTCAAAAATAATACCCGTTATTAGAAAGTGTTAATAGGCGAAAGAGGGCATAATAAACGAAACCAGACTAGAACACGGATACTGATTTTGGTATCAGTATCCGGATATTTACGGCGGATACATATACAGGCGGATACAATATCTGTATCCATGTCCTGGTCTGGACGAAACAGGGAGGAAGATGAAAAAACATTATTTAGAGATTTAAGAAAGATTCATAGGCAGTAATCCAGTCTACATATATTAATTTTAAAGTCAAATTTTTAAAAATATTTTACAAATTACATACTTCTTCAATTCCATACTTTACTTTTTCCATTCCCTGTTCAACCAATTTTTTATTTAATTCATTCAAATATACTTCTAAAATTTTCCCTTCCTTTTCAACACTTTTACGTAGATCGGGTTCTACAGTTGCCAACATTAATCTAGATATATCAGTCATTGGATTGCCTTTAAAAATATTTTTTTAATTGTTAGCTTAAATATTTATATTTTTAATTGGTTTTTAACTTTATTCTATTTTAGCTTATTATCTTGACTAAAATTATTTCATTTATCTCCAAAAAAGTATTTAGTCAAAACGCTGAAACACGTCATAAGAAACATGAATCGAGTTTCTAATGGGATATAAAACATGTATACCGTAATTTATTCTAACAGAAACACGTCTGTATTTGAACCACAGTTCCTAATATAAACGCACAAAATGAGAGGGACCACTGAATCTATCAGAATAAACACGGTATCTATAAAATATTAATCCCAAAAGCATGCTAGGACGACAAGACCATTGTAACAAACTTATACTATAATGTATCTTTCAATTCAAAAACATAACTTGCTCCTCTATTGGAATTTTAAAAATTTATTAGCCTATATCTTGGTTATATCTCTTTGATAGAGATTAGTCTAAAAGATTACTATAATAATTCAGTTTTATTTACCTATAGTTGCCAATTGCCAATCTATAAAAGCTGCAAGTCTGTTTGGATTATTGTTATACCATAATAAATTATTATTCCACAAATCCCCATGTGTAAGGATCTCAGCAACACCTTAAAAATAATTTTTAATATTTGAAAAATATTTTTTTAATTTTCTGAATATGAATAGTGAAATAAGATTAAAAAATAATAATGTAACTTCCACAGCAATCAGAGCTGAATCGGAATTCCGATTTCCGGCATTTTTTTCATTCCGATTTCCGAGAATTGGGCTGTTTTCCGACTTGCAACTTTTGAGCCATTTCCGATTTCTGACAGTTAATGGGATCAAATAAAGCTTAAATGATATAGAAACAAATAAAGAATAAATGCTATAAAGGTACAGGATTGGAGGCCTGTGGAAAAATTTCAGATATTGTTTAATTCTCCTTGACTGAGTGAGATTTTCTCCCATTACAGACCGACCGAATAACAAAGCAACTCCACACTTGTGTTATTAAGCGCAGACCCTTGCCACTAGAATAGACTAAAAATTTAATCAATTGGACTCAAATCTGGTATGTTGGCTATTCTTGAGACTCATAAAACCGGGTAAATTGGACTTATCCACAATTTTAAAAATGAATTTAAGTAAATACCATAATAATTTTCACATTTCTCTTTCATCCATTTAACAAAATCTGGTCTAATAACCAAATTGCCAATTTTTTTAAATGGTCCCACAATATCTTCTAGAAATAATTTTTTATGAATTATAATACAATTTAATCAAAAACCATCAAGTTCCATAATTTGTTCAATCATTGCTGAACCAAATTCTTCAGCCATACCCTGTCCCCACATTTCTTCTATTGTTACAAATTCTTTCTGCCATTTTCCTTTAATTTTAGGCAAAGACAAATAAGCATGTAAATGTGCCAAGTATTTAACAACTTCCATTATCTATATTTTTATATTGATGACTGGTATTAGATATCAGGGATCAAAAATCGGGAATTCCAAAACTTTTTTGAATACGGAATCCCGATTCACAGAAATTTTCATAAAAATTTTCAAACAATTTTAATATGAAAGTCTAAATTTTATTCAAGTGATTTTATAATTTCTTAACACTTATTTTTGAGAGAAAAAACTCGATAAACCCCGATCGAGTGAAATAAAAATCTCAGATTAATGGGAGCAGACTTGCACACGGATACGGATATGGATACAAATAATATCAAAATACCTGCGGATATCCGTCTGTATCCGCCCGTATCCGCCGTAAATATCCGGATACCAAGATCAGTATCCGTGTGCAAGTCTGAATGGGAGTATCGGACACAGAAAACCGAATATAATTTATATGAAGTATTTCAACCAACTATTTCTAAAGTGGGTGGGCTTTAATCCAAAGTGGAGCTCTATTTCAAAGCGTGATTCTAATTCAAAACGTAATCTAATTCAGAGTGGGTCTTATAGGAATACGGTAAATTCAATTACTTGTATTTCATTTAATCCTTTAGTTAAAGGTGTAATATGTGTATTCTCTTTTAAATCCTCCATCAAAATCACTCCTTGTGGCCCAAGCTTATTAATCTTATCTTCATTTTCATCTTTTGAACAATTTTTTGTAAAATAAATTTTTGGTATAGGCAAGGGGGGATATTCTATATCATTCATCATTTTATAAAATAAACATTCGTTTTTATGCATTCTTGTAAATGATGCCATTGATTCCTAAATAGTAGAAAATATTTTTACATAGTTTTAAAAATATTGGAGCTTTGACCGGGTACACGGTCCCACCCCCTATGGTTTTTCGATTTTCGAAGAATTATATCTCGGTCCACAGGCATCTCCGGCAAAAAAGAGTGATACCGTTTTGACTCAGCTCGGTGAGACGAATCGAATGGTATGGGTCTTGTATCGGAACTAAAACTCCGGTATACTAAACTATATCCAAAATTTGCTCGGATTGGCCTTCGGATAACTCGTGTTATCTTTTGTCATTAAAAATTAAATCAATTTTTACCTTTAACACAGGATTAATTTTTGTCGATACAACTTTATCATTTATTTCTTCATTGTTATTATTTTCTATTGTCAATTTTTCTGTAAATTTTAACATAACTTTTTCCAATCTTTCCTTTCCAAAAAAATGTTGTAAAAGTATTTCAATCCTCTCATCAGCAAAAATTTTTAAAATTAAAGAAAATTTGTTTGGAAAATTTTTTGTTCTGTTGTTAATTCCATTTGTATATTTTATTTTAATTATTAAGCGAAGTAATCTTGAAGTGAAGCCTTTGCCATCATTTATGTCTATTGCTTCGATCTTTAGAAATTTTTTTAATTTTATGTTTTTCTTTAAATAATTATTTTTTATTAAACCAATAATCTTGCCAGACCTTCAAACTTTAAGTGTAGGGAAACTTATCGAGACGGATATATCGGGCCCAGCGTTCGCAAGTCGTGAAGCCAATAGATTAGCTTTTCGCAAAGTGAAACATCCCAATATGCCCGTCCCGATATTTCTGCCAGCCATAAAATTAACACAAAGAAATTTTTTGTATTTTTGGCTATTTTCCTTATGTTTCCTCATGACGAGAAGTCATGAAGAAATATCAATGACGGTTCCTTATGATTTTGATAAGGTTATGATAAGTTTGATGCTGGTTGAAGACGAGCAACAAGCGAGGATAAGGAAACATAATTGGAAAATTAAGGAAAATAGGCAAGAAATAAGAAAAATTTCTCCATGTTAATAACTATAGACGAGACGACACTGTGAAGGCGTATATTCCGAAATATATCTATGTATCTAGATAGCTTGATTTTTGATGTATCTTCTCCTGTTCCGATCTTTATATTTACTCATAAAAAAAGAAGGATTTCCCATATAAATTTTACTCAAATCTTTTAGAGATTAATTCTTTACCTTCTCAACGAATCCCCCATTTTCTAAAATTTTTCTAAATTCAATACTTCCATTAGCCAATTCATTAATTATGTAATCAAAAGTAATCCAATTGTATTCTAATATATATTTTAATTTTAATTTTGGGTTAATAAATTTATTATCAAAATTAAAATTATTTTTGTTTTCCTCTTCACAACAATTATTTGAAATAATTAAATTTGAAGGAATTGAATTATTTATTTGGATGTTATTTGTCATTTTAAATTTATTAAACAATGTAAATTAACTAAATTTATTAGTAAATTTTTTTAAATTTTTCTATCACGGATCAACTTGATCGTCTATAACTTTTTTGTACTTGATCCAATTCACATGAATCTTACATCTTTCCATTTATCTTATGCTTTTCACATTTATCAGTTTGTAACTTTTTAACGAGTGATCAGACCTGATTTATCAATTTGCAAACATGTAAAATTTACCGAGGGCTTTCTAATGATGTAAGATTCATTTGTATTGCATCAAAAAAGTTATAGCTGACCAAAGTCTGCTGACACACAATTTGTGGGCATATAACGGATAATTATTAAGAAGTTCTTATTTCGTGCAAGCCCTAACAGGTACTTTTTTCGACCCATACCCCAACACGACTTTTTCCTTATTCGTCTCATCCCTGATCTTAATTAATTAAAAAGTTAAAATATTTTAACATAAAATTAGAAAAAATTTTTTTCTCAAAAAATAAGACTGAGATTCTTAAATTTTTATTTACAAAAATACTTATAAGAAGAATTGAACGAAATCAATTTGTAATTGTAGTTTGTTAATATTTATTTCTAACGTTTAAATTAAAGGGAGAAAATTTTTTGGTTCAATCACAAAATACATTTTTTTAAATATTAAGGAGGCTTATATTGAATTTTTATGTTAAAAAATATTAAAGTTAAAGTCTTTAGATAAAAATTTTGAATGATTAATATTAATAACGGAATCGAAATTTTTTTAATTGAAAAAGCTACACGAGACAAAAAAACTAATTTAGAAAAATAGATAAGAATTATAATAAATAACAATAAATTGATATTCACAAACTATGTATGAATGAAACAAAAAATTTAAGTATTGTGAGTAAATAAAAATGGGGTAGCTTGTTTTATTGAATAATCAGCTTGGGTGATTATTTTTTAACTAAAGTTGGGTTTAAAAATTTTTTTTCAAAATGTTTTTAAAAAATCTAGTCGATTACAAGCAAAAATGAGATTACTCTCCATATGGGTTTCCAATTTTTGGAGACCTATATCTCGTTACATAAGCATTTCTGCACATAATTATGTTGAAAATAAAATATTAAAGTTAAAGTTCTTAGATAAAAATTATACACAATAACTTTAGATCACATACATTCGGCTTAGCTTGTCGAAGCGACACATTTTGATTAGTTCCTCGACTAAACGTATTATTTTTTATTATCATTTATTAACAACAACCGGTGCCCCCGCTTTTCAGTTAATCCAATTTAATATTGGATTAATTTGAATTAATTCGGTTTTGAATATCAGCTAAATAACGATTCTATTTTGGGGGAATTTTTAAAAAAACAATAATTTTAGAAATTTTTTATTTTTTAATTTCTATAAAAAAGCAAATTTTTGGCAAAAAATATCAAAATACTTTCGATTTTAAAAACGATCACCAACAACCAACTCCATTTAATACTTTCGACAAAAGGGATATTAACAGAGGGGGTTTGGATATATGTGTTCTTAAATTATTTTATAGTTTCTCGTCGAGTTTAGTTAATAATGAACTATATCTGCAACAGTTATGATATATTTATGATCAACAGGTATGATTGATTATCAACAGTTATGATCTATCGCATTTGCTCTATTATAATAACTTTAGATCACATAGTCAAGTGGTCCTAGTTAATTTTTAAAGACTTCATGATTAAGTACTATAAGGCAAAAAATATGAATATTAAAAATCTGAAATCTTACCTATTAAAAGAGGAAAAACAAAGAAAACAAATGAAAGTTCCTTAAAACGACTGTTTGATAAATACATATAATCATCACAAACTTTCACATTGGGAGGGGGGTTAACTTATTAGGTATTTTTACATTTTTTCTCTTTAAATTAGTTTCTCTTCATTATTAAATCTTAACTTTCAAAAAAATTTTATTTTACATTATCATTTTTATTTTTTTCTATATTAAATTTAAAATAATTTTTACCATTTTAACATTTTTTCTTACTTAAAAATTGATTTTTATTCATTGTTAGCAAACAAAATTTTTCATTCCCTCAAACATTCATCTTTAACAACAATTTCCTCTTTTTCCTGTTTTTACACACCACAATAAGACTCTAACTAAAAATTTTCTCAATCAATTTTCATTTAACTTTTTTGTTAAAAATGTCTAGTCTTTTTATGTTCGATTTTTTTAAATCCTATATTTTCCAAGGTTAACTATAACAATAATAATTATTTCTGTTTATTACAAATTATCCAAACAATTAAAAAGCTATTTTACTTCCTAAGACTAAATATGTAGAAACACATTCGTGACTGAGTAAATCTCGGTCCTGGTTCTGATATTTTCCTTTATGTTAAAAATTTCCAGTTTGCAGTCCATATTTTGGCTTTTATTTTTTCATTTGATTTGATTGATTTGATTGATTGTTTTTTATCAATAATTTATCAATCAATAAAAGCTAATGGATAATTTTTTCGTTTTAAAATAAATATTCCTACATTTTTTAAAATAAATATTTATTTTTGAGATGTTGAATGAGAAAATGAAGGAGAAAATTTTATTTAATTAAAAAAATAAAATAATTAATCAAAAATATATTTTATGTTCTTATTTTATTTAATTAAAAGACCTCAATTTTTAATTAAAAAAGTACCAAAATTATTTATTTTATTTATTTTTTCTTCCCTTTTTATTATTTTACTAATTTATTATGAAGAATTAAATGTTGGATATGTTGTTAATTTATATGGAAATTATTATACAAAAACGGTTTACAGAGAAATTGATATTGTACACAAACAAAGTGAGGAAAATAAAGCGGCAATTACTCGCTCGTGAACGGGAAAAAATCTCACCCTGAATGATGAAAACTAAGAATGGGTCGGGCTGAGAAAGAAGTCGGGCCGAATTTTCAATATTTTCTTCAGATCGGGTTTCTGGTCGAAAAAATGCCCGAATTTCCGCGTGGCAGTTAAAGAGTTGAACAAAAAGCCATATTTCTCGGAGTGATTTGGGTATATCAGTGATTTTGGACAGCGATTTACATATCAGTATTTAAGGGAGTAAGGTGGCAAACACCTTCAACTTTGTTTCCAAGCAAAGGATGGGTACTTGGAAAATTTTTGATTATATTTGTTCCTTGTTTCTCTTAAGCATAATTATGTGTCCGTTTACTTTCTAGTTACCCTGTACATATTTCAATTTTAGATCATCTCGAAAAAATTTGGGTAATTGTTATTGTCAATAATGCCCAAATTTTGTCAAATTACAACCTTGCACAAAGCACATTAAGATGTTATTGCCAGTTAAATGGGTATCCTCTTGAAGTTATTAATGCTTCTGAGATGGGAAAGGAGAATGATAATTGTAAACAAAAAGATGTAAGTAAATAGATGTTCAAGTTCGACATTTTAAAATCGCCAGGCATTTAAAATGGCCGGGCCGGAGTTTCAGTGAAACCCAGTATTTTATCAAAATACCCGGTCTACATGCTACTGTGCCCGGAGATCCAGTCCATTCAATAATAAATATAATTTTAGATTAGTTAAGGGTTCTAAAAATATTTCTTTGATTCCTAGAAAAAGGAATTCCGAATATTTCCATGTTTTGTAGCCAAGTAACAGGGGTGTGCTGAAACTTAGGATGAAAGACAAATACCAAAAATATGAAATTCGGCTATAGGCGAAACTGGGGCTAAATATTTCCCCATTCTCCAAACGGTATTTTCTTAATCCCTCCAGCCAACAACCCTAGTTTCCAGACTTGTTAAAAATAGAATGGCCCTCTATTCTATAATAGGAAATACGGTCTATATAATTACAAAAAATTTTTTTAAGTTTTATTTCCAACGCCATTGTATTCTTGCCAATTTTCTTTCTTCTCACTCGGCGGATATTAAATTTGCCTTTTTTATGGATGCAGATATTGGTGTCATTAATCCAAATCATTCACTAGAAGAATTTTTGGAAGGAAAAAAAGATTTTGATTTAATTTTTTATGAAAGGATATTTAATGGGGAAATTATGGCTGGAAGCTACATTTTAAAAAATACTCAATTTACTAGAGAATTCCTTTATTATTGGGCTGATTATTATTTTAAAGTGCCACATAGTTTTCATGGAACCGACAATGGAGCAATACATGTATGTATGTTTATTAAAATTTATTTTGAGTAAATTTTGATTAGAGTTCGATATTAGGGCGGGGATTGTCTACAGAGAACTGCACGGAGGAAGAACGAGGGTGGGGAAGCTCAGGGGAGACCTCCAACATCTGAGGAATTCCATTCATCGAAGTAGTAAATTCCATCTTTAGCCACTGCTACCCGAGGCTAATACGGATATACAAGCTTAAGTTACCATAAAATTTCTCTAGCTATTTTTCAATTACACTTTCAGTTGAGGCTCAAGTACATTGTGGGTACTTATTATCAAAATCTTTAATGTACATTATCAAAATGATTCTGAAATTTTATTTAAATATTCTCTTGTATTTTAAACTTTTTTTTATCAAATTCACCTTCATTTTAATTGCTTAAAATAATTAAAAAATATTATTTAAGTCGGTATTTCTCGATTTGTTTTGTGATCATTCAAATAAAAATTGCTCTGAAAAAAGACGGGTCTGTTCACATCTGTGGAATGTTTCACTCGATTTTGATACTCTATTACCTTTTACTTTATGTGCCAAATATATACTCGGAGCTAGAAATTTATTTACAAGTTCAATTTCTGAAACAAAATTAAATAGTACAGGAAAGTTGCTTCTACTGACTGATTTTAGGCAATATTGGGCAAGAGGTTAGAGCTTAAGTAATATTACTCTCTAAAATAATTACCTCCTCTTGATTAATTACCCCGTCTATCGGAGGCTGTAACCATAATTATCCAGGGCAATAAGTTGACATACACGGTATGAATTTTAACGAGGTGTTGAAGGATGTGTGAATATGAATATATGTAATGAATATATGTATATGAATATGAATATATGTAATGAATATAATATATGAATATGAATATATGAATATGAATATATGTAGGATTGTGATTGAACTATGGGTTAAATAAAGATAATGCGATTTTCTATTATCTAATCTCGCCTTTTTAGCATTGAGTTTACTTTAATTTAGTTTTGCCTTAATAATGCTTTATCCTAGATAAATTATGTCTGGATCAGAGGTCCTATTGAGTCAAGGTAAAGAAGGTGGCTCTAAACTTGCTGTCCCTGAACCAGTAACTTCCAGAAAGTCGATTCTTCATAAAAAATTATACAAGGCCTGGTAATACTTCCTAAGGTCCTTCAAAATTAAACCTCTTTCCAAAAAACCTTCCAAAAACCTGCGTCCAGATTCAAATTCATTCGGTTCTTATGCCTCAATTATCCCATTCTCAATAGATGCTTATTGTTAATATACATATATCCATATTTACAAATTCGATTAATTAATTAATATTATTAGATGGCTGGTTAACTGGAAATTGTTGGTCATCAAGGGATTTTTTAATTCATGGATGGCAGAGTCGGTAAATTCCTTTTTAAATTCCTGTTAAATATTTCATTTTAATTTTTCAAGTCGTTTGAATCGACAAACATTTGCTGGTTGGAATTCACCATTTTCTTTACAAAAAATTGAAAATCAACCTGAAAATTGTTCAAACCCAATGATTGCATTTAAAGAATGGCCATATAAAGATACTTTTATTTGGACAAATGAACAAATTGAGAATGAAATTGAAAGGATAATTAAAGAAAGAAATATTAAACATATGGGGATTTTAATGAAAGAAGTAATTAACAGAAAATATTGAAAAATTGGGGTGTGTATATTAGCTCGATCCTCGGCGATGCCTCGACCTCATGCTACTATATGTATTTTAAACGCACATTGTGCCAATAAACTAGATAATTACGGGTTAGCTTATTTAAATTTATTTTTTAGACAAAATTATTTCATTTATTAAAATATTCGTTAAAAACTTTATTTTTATTTTCAACTTGTGATTATTAGAAAAATAAAATTTGTTTATTTCCATCACGTCATTCATTATTTTTATTTTATTATTAATGTTTTTGCACAAAATAAATGAATGACCAAAAATAGAATAAATTTATTTATTTTCACGTGAATATTTAATAGTTTTCAATCTTTGCTATTAAGTAATTCTAAAATATTTTTTATTTAAAATATTATTTATTACCATTCTTTAATGTAATTATGACGTGATTGAAAATAAATAATCTTTTTCATTATTGTATCCAAGGTGAAAACAAAATAATATCATTTTTAACAATAAATTAGTATAAAAGACGTGTAATTTTAAATTAATTTGTCCATTTCACTAAAAATATTTTCATAAAAATAAAAAATACTACTCCGCAAAATTATTCGTCCACCCCCTTTTCCAAAAATTTTAATTAGAGTTTAAATTTACTCTTAAAATTCTCAAAATTTTCACTTTCGGCGCTAAAAATACACTGGTGGAAAAAAGTATTGATCCCTATATTTTTTTCTTCTTTCTTCTTTCATCTTTCATTCAAAAAATACGTTCTATATATCAATCGAAAGCTCTATCTGTATCTCAGTTGACATGTTTCTGCATTTTTCGAAATTCTTACATTTTCGAAAAATTTTCGACCGGTCTAACAGGTACTACTTTTTCAACTTTTCGGAGAAATTTTTTTGAGGTCTGTAAAAAATATATGTGATTCTCCTCTAGATTCTACATACACTACAAAAAAATCATCCAAATCGGTCGAGATTCGACCGAGTTATGAATTTTTGAAAATCGAAAATCACCATATTTTTGCCATTTTTCGTCAAAAAATCGTGTTTTTTCGATTTTCAAAAATTCATAACTCGGTCGAATCTCGACCGATTTGGATGATTTTTTTGTATTGTATGTAGAATCTAGAGGAGAATCACATATATTTTTTACAGACCTCAAAAAAATTTCTCCGAAAAGTTGAAAAAGTAGTACCTGTTAGACCGGTCGAAAATTTTTCGAAAATGTCAGAATTTCGAAAAATGCAGAAACATGTCAACTGAGATACAGATAGAGCTTTCGATTGATATATAGAACGTATTTTTTGAATGAAAGATGAAAGAAGAAAGAAGAAAAAAATATAGGGATCAATACTTTTTTCCACCAGTGTATAAGAGAAATGAACGTGAATAAAAATTTAAATTTTATTTTTGTAGCTTACTTATATTTAGAAAATCTTTCCTATTGTGTAAAATTTTAATAAAATTAAATAAAATTAAAATAATTAATTTAAATAAAATAATTAATTTAAATAAAATTTTCTGCTTTATCTTAACCTTTTTTATAAGAGCCCTGATTAATTAATTATTTAATACTGAAATTAAATTTTTTAACTTAATAAATAAGAATGGTGTGTCAATGCAGTTTAGTTTATTAACTTTAAATTTAAAATAAAAAATATTTTTTCAAAGATTGTTGTCGACAGAAAATTTGCTGTAAGAGTGGCGCTGATTGTTATAATGGTCTTGAAAAAATTATTTTTGACTCTATTATAGGACATGCGTCCCATTACATGAGTATTTAAGCGTCAATTGAGAGAATTTATCAGAGAATATCCCATGCATGTCCTATACTAGGAGCCTTAATATTTTTTTGTAAATTAATTTATTAATAGATGACTGCATAACTTGTAAATGTTCCAAATGTTGCTGCTCTACATGTGGAAAAACTGGTGGGGATGGGCAGAAGATGTGCTGTGCTAAATAATTAAATTTACTAATGAGCACATTGAATGATGAGACAAATAAATGATTAATATTTTGAAAAATTAAAAATATATAGGCATCTAACAATTTTTATCATAAAAAACTACCTAAATTATATATTCTCATATTTGAAATAAAGATTTCCAAATTATCAATATATTAAAGATGTATTGATAATTAGCATCGAAAGATTAACGGTATATCTCAATTGAATATTTTATATATCTCAATATATATCTCAATTGAATATTTTCTAAAATATTTTTTGCTATTTTGCAGCAAATTTCAAGCCTTCCGAATGAGCCTAAAACATAAATTTTTGAAATTGAAAACCCCTGTTTTATTTTAAAGAACGAGTGAAAATAAAATTTATTATAAAATTTTAAAAATTTATTTTCAATTATTTTCAATAAATTTATCTATGTCACTAAAATAATAATAATAATCAAATTTACATAGAAAAATAATTATTTTTAAGTAAAGAGATCTCAAAATTTTTTTTATTTAAATTGTTTTGATTGCAAATACAATATTTAATGATCAAGTGCGTCGAGTTATTCCAAGTATTTTCTCACAAATACCTACAGATTTACTCCAAAGTTCGTCCTTAAATTCAAATTTTAATGCTTAAATTGGCTATATTTTTTAATCAAAAATTTTTTAAATTAATTAGATCATCAGACAATTAGTCAAAATTTTTCTTTAATTTCACTATCCACTAATTGTACATTAATGATAAAGAGATCCTGTCAACAGAAACCCCTATCCGTTATCTTCATGAAATAGTCGATCAAATATGTTATGTGCAGTATTTGATATGGTATCAGGGATTGCCCCGACAGAAAACCAAATTCCCGATTTTCGTGAATCGTGAATCTGTTCGGCGCGATCCCTGATCAGTATATCAGGTATATTTTTCATATCGGGTATATTATATCAGGTATCGGAAGGATCGTTATGCTAGAGCTATCCAAGTCCAAAAACTTCCCAAGATTTATGAACAAAGAATGCATTCAAAACAAAGAGCGAATAAATATAAGTAGAGCTTTAGTCGACTTTAGACCAAGTCTTTGAAAGCTCTAACATAAATTTATTTTTATAATTGAATTCTATTGAGTCAGTCTCCCAACCTAATGGTGGCATTAAATATCGAAATAAAATTTTGTGTGAATTTTAAATATTTTTACTTAATAATGTACTTACTTGTACTCTTACATCACAAACGGAAGCACCCAGTTTTAATTCTTTACAATTAGCATCAAAATATTTTCCACTAATTCCTTCAAACTCTTTATCCTCAGTTAATCTAACAAGTGTTTCTAAAGCATTTACATGTTCGTATAAATATGGCTCTGATGATGCAGGAAATAATGAACTATAGAATTGTGCACGGTTTGAATATTGGGGCAAACTTAAAATTTTTCGGAAATTTTAAAATAAATTTTTTATTTGAAAATAAAATCTCGGTTATCGAGATCTCGATCCCGAATCTCCTACGACACTCCCAGTCGAGATTTTAGTTTATATCCGTCATATTCATTTTATATTTTCTTTAATCCCTCTCCGTTCAAATACATTTAAAAGGATTTTTTAATCGCTTAATAAATGCCATGTTAGATGTTCAGCTATATGTTTTAAATGTTTTAACAAATAACTTGGCCTGATCAACATTTAAGTATTCCTTCCATTATAACTTCGTCCTCGGTTTGCGCTCCTGGTATTGGGAAGGAGTCTTAAATCTATTATACTCAGAAACAAGTTAGTTTTTAGAACTTTTAACGTATTATATTTACTAGTGCTGCTCGAGAGTCTCGATCTAGGGTCCCGAATCGTGAAATTTTTCGGATTTTCTCGATTTCGAGTAGATTTTCGAGCCACAGTAAATTTTGATTCCCTAGCAGCACTAATACTTACATCGTTCGTCCCTCCTTCTCAACCCTCTTTTCTGCATCCACAACATTTACAGAAACTTGGAATTGCTTTTTATGTTTAAACATTAATCTGTGTATGTACAATGTAGCATAATGATTCATTAATTTTGTAAGGGAATATTGTGCAAATTTATCATATTTACATCCTTCAGAATTAATATCATTCCAATTTATTGAACTACTACTAAAATAAATTGAAAAATCAGAAGTCCAAAAGGTCAAAAAATCACAAGAACTACAATTATAATCCGGGCTGAACAGGGTTTTCAGGGCCCGCTAGCCATGAAAATGTGTATTTTGTAATAAAAACATACAAATTATGTAACATAGAACCAACAGTTAAAATCCTTGATGGAGAATTGAGCTCAAGCAAGGGAAGTAATTCGGTGAATAAAACAATGTGAGAAAGGTGGTTAATCTGAAATTTTTATTTATAATCTAAAGTACTGATAGGTACTGATAGGAAATCTATTAGGTGCGGACATAATTAGTGGCCGTTTTTTAAATTGGATTTTTAGTATTAAGTTTATAGAAAATATTTTTTATTTTTATTACAAATCATTTGTTAGTTTATTTTCTAAAGGATCCCAGCATTTCAGAATTTTTGGTCAGGTATTCATGGAGTTCTGATCGAAAAAGTCAAAATTTTCGAAATCATCAAAAATAAAATTTTCTCGAGTATATGAGTTGATAATATTAAGTGTAATATGTCATTCGAAAGCTCTTCAAAAGCTCTATCAGGAGGGCACAAATTCGAATTTTTAATCTCAAAAGTCTAAATTTTTCAAAAAGGTCGAAATTCGAATTCCGGGTTCGACACAATTTACAGACTTTATACTTCGGATTTAGAATAAGCCCTGAAAGTTATATAAAAAACCGTTTAGATCATCCTGATCGGATGATTTTACGCTAAGTTATAAGAAACAACTTTTTGGGGGAGTGTCGTGTCGTTTTCCCATCTGTGCAAAAGAGAGTACACGCGGCATTTGATTTGCCTTCCTTAAGCGCATCCCGCTTTTTATGAGTCACGCGTCGACATACTTATAGAGCAGATATCCCTCTATAATTCAGCAGTAGAAATAAGCGGATTCCTTCTAAACCGGCCGAGCAGGACCGTTTTCTTAATGACACCCGTCTCCCTCGATCATGTTTGCTTCTGAGAGTCATACGGTCTCCATTTTAAAGCCTGAACCCTATTTTTTGCTGTCCAGCATAGACAACGATCCCATTGACTAGGTCATTATGATTTTTTGATTCTTGGTTGCATTTTCGGTAATTTAAAATTTTTGGTGTAAATGCTTGTGAATTTCACTACGAGGTAGTGAAGTTCAAAAAATCATAACTTTACGAATATAACCCGTATATGGCTAAACCTGGTATTAAAATAAAGAGGAGATTCAGATCTATATGTTTATTAAAAATAAAAAAGAATATTTGTAAAACAACACCACTAAAAATTTAATCTAAAAAAACGGCCACTAATTATGTCCCCACCTAATAATTACTAATTATATTTAAAAATTCAATTACTTGTAAAGTAAGTTCAAGCCCATCATGCGATTTTATTCTTCGCTGAACAACAACAGATGCACAAGCAATTAATGTATTTAGACGAGGAAATCTTAACCGAACAACTTCTGACATTTTTAAAACCTTAAATTTATTAAAGAATTTATCAAAATAACAGACAAGCTTAATGTTTAGTGTATTAAACTAATTAATCTATATTTTAGTATGTAATAACTAACATACTAAAATATAGATAGTATGGCCAACTAACTTCCTTTAAGTTGGCTATGTTGTATGAGGAGTTGCCTAACCCAACACTTACTTCATCTTAGGGACAATTTTTCGTTTCCCGGTCTAATATATTACCTCAGATAGTTTCGAAAAGTCAGCAGCTACGAAATCAACATTCCTTTGTTTCCTATTCCCAAGCTTTTTCATGTTCCATTCCCAATTCCTCGACAATTTTTTGGCAATTCTTTTCACTCCTACCATGGATAATAACAAAATTTTCATGAATATTAGCTGCCAATTCCTGTGCCAATTGACGGCCAAACCCGTCTGTTGAACCAGTTATGAGTATCCAACGCTTGAAACTACAAAATTTATTGAATAATATAAACGGTGTACGGAATTTTGGTCACCGGAATTTTGGTCACCAAGGATTTTCGGAACTTTGGTCACCAACTTTTTTGGAATTTTGGTCACCAGCGGAATTTTGGTCACCAAGTCAAAAAACGGAATATTGGACACTGAAATTTTGGTCACCAATAGGAATTTTGGTCACCAAACGGAAAAAAAATCTTATCTAAATCTGATATCAAAGTGATAAAAAATGATTTCTCAACCCAAGAACCTCCTCCACTTAAGAACCTCCTTATGCTTGCTAGCCTTCTAATCTCATAAAGAATAGAAACTTGTAACGAGAATTTATATCCATAAACTATAACCAAAACAAATGAAAACCAAATACATACTTTAATCCATCTTTATTTAAATTAGAGGACATTGAGTTATAATAATATTTAGATGCTATTCTGATATTGCCAATTTTATTTTTTAAGTAATTTACATTATCTTAAGAAGCTCGTTTGAAGGATTAATTTACATACAGAATTTTTTTTGAATAAATTAATTTGATGGACATGTAATTTTTTTAAAAGCAATTTTAATTTTAGATACAAATTAAATAATTTACTCAATTAAATAAATTGACTGCCCTCATTTACCTAATTACCTAATTTAAAATGTTTTAATTTTTAAATGCTAAATATAAGCTTTAGGTAAAAAAACACATGCGCCTATATTATCCTTAACTGCATAAGAATCTTTGAGACTTTCTAATTTTGTAAAATTGTCATTAAAATAAAAGAGGACGATAAAACCACATTTCAGAAATCCGTAACAGTATTGAATTTCGAAAAGCCGAAGCGAATCAAGTTAACGGGATGGTATCTCGTAAAATCGTGTACGGGATCCGTTTGTGCCGATCTCTAATATAGATGTTTTTCGATTCAGCACTTTTAGTCTTATGAGAGAAAAATTATAGGCTTTTTAGGTTGTTATTTCGACTATACATTCAGTTAAAAATTTTTACGAATATGTCAAAAATATTATTTCAAAAAATTTAAACTTGATTTAAAACAAAAACGTTTAAAAGCTGGTTGCTTTTAAATGTCTTTATTGATGGATTTTGCCTAGCATTTAAAAAGAATTGACGTAAAAACAAGCTGGATACACTTTCCGTTTTATGTGTGTTTTGTTAGAGTGAAAGGAACAGCCAGCTTGTAAATAATAGAAAGGGGATTAGATAAATGGACTAACGGAAGTGAAAAGCTTCTCGTTTCTTTATTAAACGTTTATTTCTAAATTTTGGCCCATCTTAGAAATTAAGTAACTTTAGGGTTGGCGGATCCTGGAAAATTATGAATATCCGGCTACGCCACAAAAATTTATAAGTATCCGGCTTTATTTCGGAACAGGATATTGATCCTTCAACATGTAAAATTTTGTGAGATTGTAATAGTTCGAAGATTCAAAACCAATATTACCTTCAAGACCAAGGACAATCCATGTCATTAAAACTCAATAGCAAAAATTACTGTTGGTCCAGAACCACAGATTCCTTCGAGTCACCTTACAGACTGACATTGATTTTTAGTCCATTACACGACTCAGATCCCCGAAATGCTATTTTCCGACCTTTCCATTCCCTGAAAAGTTTACACAGGAGGGTCCGGGGACTAACCATATTGTGAATTTCAATAACACCAGACAAACTATAGAAAAAATTTTTTATAAAATGATTTTAAAAAATAATTTTATGAGTACAAAATTGTTAAAAATTGAACATTTTTAATAAAATTCATAAAATTCTTCAGCGACCAAATGCTTTGAAATGTCATAGCTAAAAGGTTTAGCTTCCAAGTCCTGTCCAAAGTTAGTTTCAACAGAATATCCCGAAATTTGTACAAATGGCTGGTAATAATCATTATTCCCTTCCAACACAATTGCCTTGCCTATTAAAAATAAATAAAATATTTTCATAAAATTTCAAACAAAAAAAATTTTGGTTCGATAATTAGTGTTCGGCAAATGACCTTTTCCGGTATTCGGTATCGGTATACCGAAAAAATACCGATACCGAAAAATACCGTTTTTTACAAAAATTGACCGGTACGGTATCGGTATCGGTATACCGGAAAAATACCGATACCGGAAAATACCGTCTCAACATTTTCGGTATACCCATTCGGTATTTTTTTAAAAATTTTATAAAATTTTTTAAATTTTATTTTTAAAATCTTAACAATAAATCTTAACAATCTCAAGGACTTGAGCTTCTTCCAATCGATCATAGGCAAGATTTGAATGAGCAAAATGTCCAACAATTGCTCGACATTTAGCTAATTGAAAAATACAATGCGCCCTCCATTAGAATACCCTCCTTTAATAGAATGCCCCAGAAGGATGATTGAAAAATACAAACCCCCCCTCTAATAGGATGCCCCTATAGAAGGCCCCTATAAAAATATATCCTTTTTCAGCGCCGCAGGCGAAAATTTTGAGAATTTTGGAAGACCAGAAGACAGATTTCTTCCTTTTTCAGCGCCGCAGGCGAAAATTTTGAGAATTTCGGAAGACCAGAAGACAGATTTCTTCCTTTTTCAGCGCCGCAGGCGAAAATTTTGAGAATTTCGGAAGACCAGAAGACAGATTTCTTTCTTTTTCAGCGCCGCAGGCGAAAATTTTGAGAATTTCGGAAGACCAGAAGACAGATTTCTTTCTTTTTCAGCGCCGCAGGCGAAAATTTTGAAAATTTCACAAATACCGAAATACCGGAAAATACCGCGGTATTTTTTCAAGGACCGGTACGGTATCGGTATACCGGAAAAAAATACCGCGGTATACCGGGAAAAATACCGCGGTATACCATACCGTGCCGAACACTAATAATAATTAAACATCCCGATAATAATTAAACTATTTGATTAATTATCCTTTTAAGAGAGAAGTTGAACAATTATCAAAATTCGTATAACGTCTATGAGTAATTTCTCCTTCTAGCCAGTGATTGGACATTCTTACCAAAATTCATACTCGTAATTGGTTACCTATCATAACTATAAGAACATTTTTTTGATAATCCCGAACCTATCGGGTAAATATCTCAAATTCGCATAACTTATGTATCCCAAATAGATTATTTAACTAATTCCTTACAAATTTGCTTTCCATTTTGAGTGTAGAAAGCGTATGGCATTTTATTCTCAGCTCTCGAGGGTGGATAAACAAGACAACACCCAACAATATCTTCATTACTCAAATACAAATTTTTTAGTGTAAAACTTTGAGGAATATTCTCTCCTTGCATTTGGTAGTGAATAATGCTACTAAGTGGCCACATTTTTATTGTATCGCTGTTATTGACAAGACCAAATACCAAAGATTTCTGATCGGAAGTAATCCCTTCTTCCAAATTAAGTTTGAGCTCATAGTAAAATAACGAGAAAACATTACAATTGACAGGCTTTTTAAAATGATTTGCAGCAGTTATAAATGGAAATTTGTTAACTAAAATAAAGAATTAAAGATTATTAGTAGAGTCGAACCCGGGCCAGGCCCGGACCGGTTTTTTCCGGGCCCTGTGGCCCGGAACTGGGTATTTTTGAGAAAATCCGGTTTATCCGGCTAACCGGTTTTATCTGGAAAAATTGGCCCGGGTGCGATTTTGGGAAAAAAACCAGGTCTCGGGCCCGGCATTTGAAAAGTTCGAACTCTAATTATTAGAGCTTGAAGGCAAAAAGCATAAATATATAAGTATCGATTTTGGATCTACCAGATCACCGACTGCTAAGAAATTATACTTCCCCTAAATTTTTTGCTTCTCAAGGTTCCGTTTGTCAAATTAATCTGTAATTTTTATCGAAGAAATACTTGAAACACTCAATCCCGATTTGTTTTAAGTGTCGGCTTGATCTAACAATTAGATTTTTTCAAAAATGTTGGGGGTTCGGAGGCGCGTAAGCAACCTAGGTTAATAATGCATACAGTATATGCTCGAATAATCACCCGGGTAATTATTCCTTTAACCTCTCACCGGAGGGATTAAGATGGACACGAAAACCCTACCCTTTCCTTCTGCACATTTAATATATCTAATAATCCCATCAGTAGTCAATTGAATAAATCCATTTCTTGACTTACAAGTACCATAAGGAGACTCGGTATTTACACATTTAGTCCCACAACATGGATATTTAGTAGTAACTTTCCATTCGTTATCAAGATTTACAAAAGACTAAAAATATTTTTTTGTAATTTTAAATAAATGGACTAACCCCTTTCTTAAATGTTGAACTATTTAAAAATTTTAATTCAACTTTCATAGATTCAAGCGAATTTCTAGTTGCAACATTCGAATCATCGACCTTTGATAAAATTAAATTAGATAATTTATTTTATATTAATTATTAATGTGATTAAATTTCATAGGAGTGATTCACTAACACACCCCGCAAAGTTAATGTTTAAAAAGTAGATGTGGTCACTCACAATAAGTGTAATAGACATGAATAACTTCGAGGAAGGAATCAAGTCTATTTTTTTTAAGGAAAGAAGGGAGTTCATCAGACTTAGTAATCATCCGAAGGGGATTTGGCACAACGTTAGGCATATCCATAATGTTTCAGTTAAATAATTATCAGGGTGATCTTTTTCTCAATATTTCGTTTTCCGGGCAAAGATTTAGATTGGATATTTTAAAAAATTTTTTCGATCCTCTACTACTTCAACAATTACCTTTTTTATTTTTTCAACTTGATCATCATGTTTCTTGAAGAATTATGTTCTAAGGTCACCGACCTTCTTATTAAAATCTTTCTGAATATTTAAAAGTTTTGAATGTTCAAGTTTCTTTTCCTCCTAGAATTAAATTAATTCAAAATATTATTTAAATAATTCAATCACTTTCTCTTTAGCTTTCTCATCAATCAGATTTTGAAGAGTTTTTCCAAATTCTTCAATTTTATTTAATTGATCTGATCCATTTATATCAAACTGTAAAATTATTATAATAAAGGATTTGCAGACAAACTTCAATTTTAAGCACTCCCTAGCTTTAATGACCTCAATTTAGGAAATCGTAAATGCTCTACGAATTATCCTCCCTCGAATAACATCTCTCTCTAAGAGAGATGGACTAAGAAAGTATATTATTATACGGAATACGTTACAGTAAAAACCCGATATCTACTATCTAATACTTGGACCTATTTTCTCAACAGTAATTTTGAAATATATAACTAATCTACAATATTAATTAAAAGAGAATCTTAAGAATCAATAGAAAAAATAAATTAACTCTGTCTTCAATCTGTTGAGATTTACCACAACCTATATCCCCTCCCAATTAATACAACCTCCTATTATTCGCAAATATTGTAGTTTTTCCAATTTGATACCAATGAGGGGGGGGGGGAGTTGGTAGTAATTTATGATACCAACAAAATTAAGTACCCTTCACTTATTTATAATTTTCCATTCCCAATAGTAAACATAAAATCAAGGCTTGGTTTTATTTTAATTATTCATTTAATACCTTCTCAATTTTGTCTTCCAAATCATTACATTTATTATCCGTCTTACGCATAGCTTGATCAAGGCCTTGAATTTTTTGTCCAAAATCTTGATCAACTTCATTAAGCTTCATTCCAATCGACTGAATAATCCCATTGGTCTGAAATAATTACAAATAAATTTAAAAATAGTAGGGTGAATAACTCCAAGGATCAACAATATCTAATAATTATAAATGTCCAAGATATGTACGAAAATCGCAACCTATGCAATATTTATGCACAGAAAATGCCAAAAATATGCATTGAAATGCGCATATAATATGTACTAGATATTTAAATATGCATGTGAGGGCCGAGGTATCACAGATTGCATTAAAAACCGGGGCCTAAAAAGCTAGGACAAACTCAAAAACTCGTTTTTCTCTGACTTCAAGGAATATCCACAAACAAAGCATGATTTGGACTACCTCAATAATGATAAAATTACCTTCATATTAGCCTGATTAATATTTTGTTTTAACGTTAACATTTCTTCATAATTTTTTGTGATAGTTTCTTGCAAAGAACTAATAAGTTCATCCTTTTGTTGAATGATTTGTTTTAAAGAAGCAACTTCTTGAGAATTTTCAATTTTTATTTGTTGAATTTTTGTCTCCAAAGAACGATTTATATCAGTAAACTAAATCAAAACGGATGATTAAATAGATATAATTAAATCATAATTACTTTTTCATCAAATGTTTTTAGAAGAACTTGTCGTATTATTTTAAGTTCATCAGGATCTCGTTGCTTCTAAATTTTAAGTAAAAATATTTTTAGAAAATTTTATTTTAAAATTTGTAAAAATTAAAAATAAAGTAGTATCTCTTAAAAACTATCCCTAAGGATTCTTAGCCCTCCATCGATCCGTACTCAATAAAAAGTAAGAATGAGATATTATAGGCACTTATGCCATTCTATATTAATAAGGCCTGCTATTTACGAATTCATAGCAGGGATGTCACAGTTGAGAAAAATTTGGTCTGGTTTCGTAACTTTCGTCGAGTCTGCTGTTAGGTCGAAAAGAGTCTGGAATTTTGTTTCAGGTAACCCGTTACATCCATGATTCAGTGTTTTACTATGTAAGGTTTTTTTTATAATAGTTGCAGTTATAGTATCAGTTAGACGTTATTTCCAAGTCTCCAATCTTGGTATCCTAGCTAAATCTAATCAACGCCTAAGATTTCAAGAGAAATCCCTCTCCCCCAGAAAATCTTTCTCTAATAAACTTACATTCTTAACTTCCTTCTCAAGCAACAATGTCTTTTCTTCGAGCTGAATCATTTTAAGTTCGAGTTCATCCTTATTATCCTTCTTTCCCATATTCTTTTCAATTTCTAATAATCTACTTTGAACTCCCAAAACATTACTCCCTTGTTTAAGTACCAATTCTTTTAAATCCTTCACTTCCTTCAATTCTTTCGCCTCCATTAATTCCATCATTTCCTTGAGTTTAAATTAGATTTACCTAATTTGTTTAAATTCAATTACCTTCAAATTCATTTTTCAGGCAAACCCGTCTTTTAAAGACAAATTATAACTAAATTATAAATAATAATTTAAAGTAGAATGAGACTAAAATTTAATCCTTCAGTGAGAATATCGAAATAAACTCTGAGAACAGTCAAGAAATCTAAAAATATTTTTTGTTTTAAAGTATGTATATTTTACTTTATTTAATCGGAGAAAATACTTTAAAACAAAATTTCGCCTTGATTTTTCGTTTATTTTTGAACAATTTTTGTTAAAATTTTCAAATTAAAAATTAATTATTTTATGCCAAAACTAGAGACCGGCAAAGGATCCAACAAACACAATTTCTCGAGTCTCTAGTCAAAATTCCATCATTTACGTATAGGTATTTTACATTAACTTTTATAAATTTTTATCCTAATATATTCTCAGTTTTTGCCGTAATAAAAAATCTCATTTCGATCTCAAATTATCTAATTTACTTTACCTGCAAATTTGTTCCAAGAAATTTAGTTTTATCAAGAAAAAATAATAAAATTTAGTAAATGATTTAGCGTGATTCTAAAATAAAAATAAAAAATTGAAATTATTTTAATATTAATTAGATAAATTATTCTATAGAAAATTTTATTGAAAAATCAGTAAAAAAGTAGCAAATGAATGCAGCAATGCTCATACTACTGCATAAATACATCTTCAATCTCTCTTTCCATAAAAAAGTAGGGCAAAATTACGCCTTTATTCTTCAAATTTAGGCAAACAGACATTGCCTTAAAATAATTTAGTAAAGGTTAGGTCACAGCGTCTATTTTTAAATATTTCAAATTCAAAACATTAAATTTGCGACGAGCAATTTATTATTTTTTTTAATTGTTAAGAAAATATTTTATTTTGTATCCTTTTTTGTTATGGGTGAATATCGGGATTGCATTGACAAAACAACTTTTAGTGTTTTAGGTTCTCTATATGTCCGTCCAGATATGTCTGGCTCCCTTCTATAATAAAATAACAGCAATTCTATTTTTTCAAATCTAATGAACATGCAGTTCATTAGCAATCATCAGCTGAATTTCATCACTTTTTACTCTTCCGCTTTCATTTTTCGTTTTTGCCGATTTCTGTCTGCTTCGCAAAATTTTGAGTTAACCAAAATAGTAAATTTCATGTTTTTGATTCATTTAGATGATTGAAACCACAAGACTGATTTTTAAAAACAGAAAATCTTTTAGTACATTTATTGGGGTTGTGTATAAGAATAAATGAAAAATATAAAATCATTCAAATGATCTGAAACATAAGATTGTCAACTTTCGGTTAAACTAAGAATTTGATGAAACTGACAAACTCTATTCTCTATTTATGTTTTATTTATTTTTATTAATTCAACAATTTTATCTGAAAATGTATGCAAGAAAATGTGAATTTTTATTATTTTTCCATTTTTTCTTGAAATTATAACATCAACAACCAGTTATTTTCATAAACATTTCAATGGTAGAATAATCCCTGATATTATAATCACCAATTTTATGTCCATCTTCCAGGTACTGACCACTGTAGGTCTGAAAAAATTATTTAGATTAAATTCGAATATTTAATTTTAAGATTTAATTATTAACCGATACCACCCGTATTTGATTACCAAATTTAAACAGTTATCGATTTTGAGTTTTATTTAAAGTAGGTTTTCGAGGGTTACTAATTTTAAATGCCCTTTAAAAACAATACAAATTACAAACCAAGCTATATGAACATCTATCAGTAATGCCTGTTTTGAATTCGATCATAGCTTTGAGTATCTCAACATTATCTGTTTCTTTCACTTCGTAACGACACCTATAATTTTGATAATCTCGAATAATTACTTGCATTTTGTTTAATATCTATTTTTTAGATAATATTATTTTCTTAAGAAAACTTTGTGAATAAATTAGCTGCTTTTAATCTTAAAGTTATTTAAAATTATTCGCTTTTTATCATATATAAAAAATAGCTAGAATATTCAGGTGTTACTGGAGATCTGTGAGGGTCTTTTATTATCAAATTAACAGTAAACAGTAATTTTTTACAAAAATCTAAAAATAGATCAAAAATGTGAGATTAAAATGATTTTTAAAAAAATGTATGACATTTTATGAATATTTGTCAATTACATTAGACATGGGAGTGAACCGTTTATTACCATTTATGAATAAAACTATTGCTAGTGAAAGAACTTTATAAATAATATTTTTACGACAAAAGGCATTTATGTTTCCCGCTTTATATTTTATGAGAAGGTAATACACAAACTGTAGTTTTTCCCAAGAAACTTTTATGGATTAAGCAGTTTTTATAAATTATAAATACCTAAAACTTTTTGCCTTCTGCAACAATTCAAATACTAATTAAATTGTGTCCCTTGTAATATCAAACCGATTTTATTTACTACAAGAGAGATAGTTGTCCTAGAGCAGTTTTAAACCTAGCGCAGTTTAAAAGCTGCAGGTTTTTAAATAAAAATTAAATTTAAAAAATTATTTTGATTATAATAAACATATTTATAACATTTTTCTTTTTTCAATCAAAAGACAAAAAATCTAAAAAATGTACAGGGTGCGGGAATTTTTCCGCCTGTTTTGGACATATCTGGCTTCAAACTTAACAAAAATTCATAATCTTTTTTTATTTTAACCCCAAGAATTTGAGAAATTTTTTGATAATAAAATATCCTTAAAATTTTATAATTTAGTGTAAAATTTTTTTTCTCAAAGTTTGAGCAAGATTTTTTTGATAAAAGTTACCTTAGACTCTTTGCTTTTTATCATTTTACAACATTTCCCCAACACATTATTTGAATTTATTTCTCTTTATATTTTCTTATTAACCTTTTCCTTAACCTACATTTGTATATAATTATGTATTTCGAAACTTTAAACATTTAACCTTTCCTTACTTCCCGCCCTTCATCATTTATATAAATAGCTTTTTATATTTCTAATTTTTGTCTTATTTTGACTTGACTTTTTTAAATAAATATTTGAATTTGTTAGTTAGTTTAATAAGTTCAATATTAAATTCAGAGAGTTCAACGATGAACTCTCTCAATATAAGGCCGGGGATATTATATTTCTGAGGTGAAAAATTCGATTTTTTGAATGATAGCTCATTCGAAAGAGCTTCTCAAGCTGAGTTCAGCGCAATCAGAGCAATCTGACTTGAGTTACAGGCCCATGAATTCTAAATTGCACGCCCGCGAATATTGAAACAATAAATTAAAGCGAAAAATCGAAAAAAACTCTAAAAATTCTAACCTATTTGTAAAAAATTTGTACATATTTTGCCACATTTGAACTATTTACTACCTATTTAAGCCTTCTTTCAACGTATTTAGGTGCCTATTATCAGTTTTTTTGAACCTAAAAACACTCTGTTCATAAGACAGAAGGACAATTTTTAATAATTTAAAGATAAAAGCAGCTAAATTTAATCAAAAAATCTTAAAAAATATTATCCATAAAAATTAATATTAAACAAAATGCAAGTAACTATTAAAGAGTTGTGTGGTCGTACTCATGCATTCGAAGTGAAAGTTACAGACAATATTAAAACACTCAAGGCTATGATTGAATTCAAAACAGGAATTCCGACGAGTGAACATCGCTTGGTTTGTAGTTTTAATTTTTATATGTTCTTTATAAGTATGGGTTTTTAATCTGAGGGGACATATTTCAGTCAACAGGCATTTTTCATCTAGAGAGGTAACTCATCTCGACTAATCGAATGACACGCCTTTCGACCCGGTTTCTAGTGGCTTCGACTAAACTACAGCGTAATTGTTTGGAATTCTCCCCCCTTTTTTCACCGTTTTCCCGACCATTTTGAGCTTTTTTTTGTTTGATACATAATTTTCATATATCATTCGAAAGAGCTCTACAAGCTTGACCGAAGGATACCATGATTGGCTAGATCTGATCATGGTAATATTGAAACGTCAGACCCTTTTTTTCCTTATAATTTTCACCCTATATTTTTACAAAATGGTTAGGCTGTTTCCTTTCTTCCTTCCAATTTGCCTTTGTAATTTTTGCCTACAATCAAAAAAAAAGGATTATTTAATTTTATACAAGTGCAAGTACATGCAAAAAACAAGTAAAAAAGAGAAGAATGGAGAAGTCTGACCATTTTGTAAAAATATGTGGGGAAAATTGGGGAGGAAAAAAGGGGGTTGTACGCTTCAATATTACCCTGATCATTCATAACAAAACTATAAAGCTAAATCCTCGTTGGGAAAACTTTGTGATAATTCAAGTGGATAAAATAAACTGTCACAACATTGTTGACTTATGTCAGTTGTCGTTAATTTTAATGTTATTCGACTCAGCTCGAAGAATCTTTCGAATGATAAATTTGCCATAAAATGAGAAAAACTAGGAAAAAATAGAAAGGTAAAAAAGGAGAGGGGGGGCGAATTCCAAACTATTACCAACTACATACAAAAAATCATAAATTATATTGAATAATACCCATTTTGTCAAAATTTTTTTAGTTATACAGGGGTCGACAACTCGATGAGAATGAAACTATTAGTGCTTGTAACATTATGAATAATACATACAATAGTTCATATGATTCAACGATTTCGTGGTTGTTGATGTTATAATTTCGGGAGAGAAATAATTTGATTTACATTTGTTTTAATACTCTTCAAATAAATTTGTTGAATTTAACAATGTTTAGAATACGGTTCTCAGACTTTTTTTATACAAATAATTAAATATGTATAACTGAATAATTTACAAATAAAATTGAATTTGGATCCAGGAGTTTCTATTTTATTATTTTACATTTATTTGTGTTCGGTAAAGAAAAAAGAATGGATATTGTTAATTATTTGTCGCGGTTAAAAAGTAACTAACAAATGAACCTTATCACAAGAGTAATAAAATGAAGGTATCGTGCGCGCCCTTATGTACGCGCCCTTTTGAGATGTACCTGACACTGCACATCACTAAAAATTAACGGTTCGGTCTCGGATATCCGAAGATTTTCCAAGAACTACAGCCCTACTTGTCAACACATATCTAACAGATTTAAATTATTTTGTATATAAATTTGGTATATAGATTTGGTTCTTTGAATCATTTTAATTCCCATCATTAAAAATTTAAAAATAAAATTTTAACCTGTAATTTAATTTTTAAATTTAATTGATCATTAATCATTTCTAAAATATCAGCTAATTCTCCTCTATAGTATAAAAGAGATATTTTCAAATTCTCGTATTGTTTTAATAAATTGTTATTTTCCAACAGCTGGATTTTGTTTTTAACTTTGATAATTTAATATTTATTCATTGCATATAAGTAAGATATATTATGGACATTATAAGGATTTAAGAAGATATCAGGATTTGGGAAAAAATCTCGTACTCACTCTACAATATCCTTATCCTCCCAAATCGTTCGATATCATCCCAAATCGCTCGAAAACCTCCCAAATCGCTCGAAATCGCTCGATATCATATTGTTAATTTCCCCAAATAAGATTACTTCGAATATTATGTCATTTCTTTGTGTTCAAAAATACTCCGAGAAACCGAAAATTTTTCTTCGGTACTTATAGCTGGTAAAATTCATTAACAATTAAGAATAATATCGTATCTTGAATATTTTATTAATTATTAAACCAACATACCAGACACATCAAATATTATTTCCGAAAGAGGTTCAAGTCCACTAGCAAAATCAAAGAGTTTATTATCCAGAAGATTTAACTTATGTTTAAATTTAAAATATTTAAGAAACGTTTATTATAAAATAGAAATACCGAAAAATATTTTTCTTCATCACCTTCACTTTCATTTTCTACTTGAACTTCATTAGCATCATTAGATTCATTTAATGAACTCTCAATAGAATTTTTGCCTGATATGTTAGAAGCAAATTGGAGAAAATAAAATAGTAAAATTGATAAATTTTTTTTCATCTTCAATCTTTTTTAACAGACTATATTAAGATTAATTTTAATCAGCACTATCGAACCTCACTCTAATATGCATAAAATAAATTCCCCAACTCCCGAAGTCACTCCCGACCCGACTCTCGCTTCACGATTCCCGGGTTTTTTATTTTTGCGAGCATCACTAGACTATAGCAAAGATGGATCTGGATCTGGACCAAGGCCTGAGGTCTTTTCTTTACCCAGAGTCCATGCCCAGGCATTTTTTGACCTTCCTAGTTTTTTCCGGGGTTTTCTAAACGTATTGAAGTTTATACAATTTTTTGTTTTTCTACAAGAGTTTTTAATTGTTATTTAGTGATAGCAATTTAAAAATAAAATGGTAAAGGGGAAACCTTTGAAGTGAGGTAGATTTTAAATATTAAATAGTGCATTTGAATGATGTAAAATCAATTTTAGACATTTAAAAATATTTATTTACATGTTAAAGTGCAGCATTTATAAAAGAATAAAAAAGAATGCCGAAAAAAATTTTTTATTTAAAAGTAAGAGACCAAAACACAAAAATAAAAAAGACTTGAAATTAGCGTTTTTGATGTAGTCGCTAACATATTATGTGGAGATGTCAGAGACTCTTGGTCTTGAGTCTTGATTCCAAGACTTTTCTTGGGTTTTATCGGTCTTGGTCTTGAGGTTAAGTCTTGGTCTAGACTTTTTTGAGCTCGTTTAAATTACACCCCTATGATTGAAGTTTTTTTGTATTCCATATTTTATTACAAAATGTATGAAAAATGGCGGTAATCCTTAAGATCATTGGTCCCTAGGAAAAAAGTGTTGCTACAATTGAGGATACGCACTTGAGGATATGACAAATGAAGACGACAATTGTGGATGTGACATATAAGGACGACACATGAGACACTAGTAGTTTATGAATAGTGATACAATTGTTGGAGTCAAAAAATACAATTAACCCTTTTTAATCATAGTAAATAAGCGGGGACTCAGGTATATACATGGGGGATTCAATATTGCATAACGAAAAAGTACCAAATTTCAATATAATTTTCTCAAGCATGACATTTTACTGTTTTGTCGGCATTTGACATAAATTGTCGGCATTTGACTTTGTGAAAATTTTCTTTGTAAAAAATTTGTTCATTGAAAATTCTTTATTTGAAAATTCTTTATTTTACTCAAGGAAAAAGAAGTTTATTTTTTTATGGAAAAGTAGTTTTGTTTAAGGGCAATAAAAATATAGGTAAATGCAATGAGTCCGTCGATCTGGGTTTTTTTATTTTTTATCCAAAAATATGGGCCATAAGCAAATACTTATAATGTCTGGGAAATTATAAAAATTCAAAAACTTTTTTTCTACTGTAAACAAGGCGTGTAGATTTAGTACAAAAAATTATTTATGAGGAACCTTATTTATAGTCTTATTCAGTTAAATATACATACATACATTCAGTTTGCTCATCTAGATAAATTTTTATAAATTAAAGTATAATTTTAAAATATTTTCAGAAAATTATTCAAGTTTTATATACCTCAGTTTAATTTCTGATATAATTTTCTAGATTAAATAAAGTAGAACATTACTCAATTAAGTAATGAAAGAAGATATCTCTTCCGATTCTGATTATGAATTAATTGTAAAATAAAAATTAAATTTATTCAAATAAATTTTTTAAAATTTTCAGCAATCTAATAGTAATTTAAAACAAGGGAATGAAAAGGAGAATAAAATTGCTTTGGTAATGGTGAACTTTGATATTTTGGCTCTTGTCGCATCTTTACGCGTCCAATGATAAGATAAAGTGTCTAACGAAATGTTATCGTCCAAACAAATTTTTATGCTTTGTTATCTGTTATTGTGCGTGTGTCGCATGACTCTGGGTGATTAGAGCTTACCATTCCTACAAATTTGAAGTTACTAATTATTTTTACTAAAACCAGATACCTGAACATCTAAACTTGTAGCTTTATCATTGGACGCGTAAAGTTGCGATAGGACGTGTAATCTGTTCAAGATACGTTATGTTTTATTAAAATCAATTTTTTGGTAAAATTCAAGCCAGAAAATCAAATAAATGTTGAAGAATTAAAACAAACTTTTCAACAAATGATTGATGAAATAAAAGTTGAAAATTCTAAACAGAATTCTGTTTTAAAAGAAATTATTGAGCAGAAAAATGAAAAAATAATTTGTTTAGAAAATAAAGTTAAACAGGTAATTAATAGGAAATTTCTAAAAATTATCTGATTCTGTTGAGTGGTTTTTTTCTAAAAAATTCAGGGAGCCTTTTTTCGGGGTACTTCAAATTGTTTTTGTAATTATGTACTTATCAAGAGGTTGATAAGTACACTTTTCGGTAAAATCTCTATGTTCTCTCATTATAAGGGATAGATGATCTAGAGGAACTGGGACTTCTAACGTATTAATTTATTGTTCATAAAAGTCGCAAAACGTGTGCGACAGAGACTTTGTGTGGTTACATAAATCGGCGTCTTCCGCTAATGCTACTTGCGACAGAAAAGATAATGGAAGAAGAGTGAAAAAAATTTTGTCGCGCGCGATTTTGTAGCATTTTTTGCATGGCTACATACATGACGCCAGCGTCTTGTCGCTAAGTTTAAGGGACAACTCCGTTAATTCTGGGGCACTCATTTATCAGTTAAATTTATTGAGAATATCTTGAGTCAAGTCCTTATTTTCTCTCTTTTTTACATTGTCTTTTCTTTCGCAAAACGCTCAATTTTTATGTAACCGAGCATTATTATTAAAATTTAATAAAGATGGAAGAATCAACTGGCAAAAAGTTTGAAGAATTAACTGAAGAATTGGAACAAATTAATAATTTGGATAACCAATTATGTTTTGTTAAAGTTGTAAATAAATGAAAAGAGATTAAAGAAAAATGTAATGAAGCTCCTTGGTTTACGGATGATTGTTGTGAAGCTAAATGTATAAATACAGAAAACCCTGTTGGTATTTGTGTTAAGGGAAATGGTTTTGTTAATTTGATTGATGATGAAAAAATTGAATATATTGATTCAAAGAAGGATGATCGTTATGGTTATTCTTTAGCTAAACAATTTTAAAATTACCCTAAATGTTTAGCAGTGGAAAGAAATTAAAGAAAAGTGTGAAATTATTTATTTTTCCATTATGTTGACTCAAAATTGTCAACAAAACCTATGGAAGTTGGCGAGACGCTAGTGTTTCGCCGGAAGTTCCGGTAGGCCAGAAGTTCCGGGATTTTTAGGTTCCGGTCCTTCAGTTCCGGTTAAACCAGAACTTTTTAACAACCCTAAGGATCGCCTGTGGTGCAGGAAAAGTAAGTTTTTTGGCTAACCAATGTAACAGACTTTAGGCTTATTGTTTGGCTTGCGAGTAAATGGCGTAATAATAATGTATTGTGAATAAATGGAGAGATACCTAATGTAGATAAGTTATGAAAAGTGTATTTTTAATGGGATAATTAAAACATTTTCCTCTCTGGTAGAACATTTATTAAATTAAAATTTTATAAAGGAACTGATAAAGAAACTACCATCTTTGCTGAAAATGCATTTATTAAACCAAAGGATAGTTCTAACTATTCTTTATTTTATTTTGAAGTTAAATATTTAAGTAAAATTCAAGAAGAGAGAATTAATCTTAAAAGCATTGATATTGGTCTTGCAAATTCCAGCAATAATTACGCTAGATTGAATTTCTGTATATATGGAAAACAAATCCGGTTTAATGTTCAAAATAAAAAAGGTCAAAGTGGTAGCCTTTATCTTCAAAATATTCTTTGGAATAACAATGATATTCTTGGATGTGGATTAGTCTATCCACCATCTACTACTGACAACTTTTCCTATATTTTCTTAGGAAAAGTTGTAATGGGAAACAAATCGGTAATTAAAAATTTGGCACTTCATTTGCATACACAATTACTTTTATTTCTCCTCACTTTGGTCAACCCTCTTTACGGACCTTACTTTTTTCCTCAACATGTTTTTTCTATATTTTTTAATTACTTCCATCCCAATTAATATAATATAAAATAGTTTTGAGTTTCGTGCATTAGAAAGAAATGAATAAAAATGATGATCTTGATTGCTTGAAGGCAAGATATAGAAAGGCATTTGTGATGAAGAAAAGGAAAAGGACTGACCATTCTGTACATACATAAGAAAACTTGGGAAGGGAAAATTGGGTCTGTAATCGACTATTACCTAGTTGTCATAGGTTCTAATTGCTTAAGCAAGAAATTGAGGGCATAAATGTAACGGAAAAGTACCAAAAATTTAAATATGTTTAAATAAATATTTTAAGGCAACCCAATATTGTTGAATGACAATTGTGATGGTTATAAACCATTTATTCAGCTACAGTCTTGTTCTGTAGAAACGAATTTTGGGAAGGATTTGAAAGCTAATCCTTTTGTTTATGACTTATCAAAACATGTATTTCATACATATTCCGATTACGGTAAATTATATTTAAATAAATATTAAAAAGTTAATCATAATTATGGGGCAAATGCTCATCAGGGGCCTATTTCAATTGTCCGCAGATTCTGCATTCTGTGCACAGATCACAGCCGCAGACTCTTCGGACAATTGAAATAGGCCCCTGATTACTCATAACAAATCTCAATTATAAAGCTTTTTTGCATATGTATTTTCCACTAGTTTTAACTGAATCGAGTAAATCTGGGTTAAAAATAAATATCATATGCCTGGAGAATCAAGGGTGGGGCGCAGTGTTAAAACGGGGGTTTAGAGGGTATCATGGGACATTCCTTAATCGGCAAAATCTTTAATAGACCTTGTAGTCATTTTTCTTTATTCAAAATAAAAAAAAACAATAAAATTTTTATTTAAAGAAAATTAATTTTTAAGAAAAAGATTTGAATGAGTTAATTGAAATGTTTCCATTAATTACAAAAGAAGGAATTGAACTAATATTGTTGGCAAAAGGGGGAATTAAAGAAATTGTTTCCGAAAATTTAAATGCTATTTTTCCTAAAAATACATAATTGATTCATTGTTTTTAATTCAACATAACGTTTTTGAGTAAAGTTAATTTTGTTGAGAGATTTACTAATTAATTTATGGCCCTCTAAACCTGAATCCAAAGCTTTGGATAACTTTGTTTTTATTTTTCCTTTCATTTGTCACAATGGTCAGACTCCCACACCAGGGATGTGCGTCATGGCGTTTTGGCGTGACGTTTTGGCGTTTTGGCGTGATTTTTGGCCGATTTTGGCGTGCTGGCGTTTGGCGTGATTTTCAGTTTTTGGCGCGCCAAAACGCCAAAATTATACACCCCTAATGATGGGAATTTTCCAAATAAATGGGGGAAGTGTTTTCAAAAAAATGAAATTTTTTTGCCCACAGCCTTCCAAAATTTTCAAAATTTGCGCCTGCGGCGCACAAAAAAGGAATAAATCTACTTATTAGCTTTCAAAATATCACGAAATTTTCGCCTGTGACATTAATAGAACTTAATACACTTTTCTTTAATCCTCCAATATCCATCAAATCCTATTAATCTACCAAAGCCACTAATGCCTCCTTAATCCTTTCTAAGTCCCTTACTTCGGGAGGTTAGAGGATATTTGGACATCTAAACCCTTCGATATTCTACAATTCTGGGGTTGTGATTTTTCCATTTTTCTTGCAATTTTTAGAAAAAGTAGGATTTCTGCTCTTGTTCTTAACAAATTTCCATAATTTTGGGTATAGGCGCTAAAAAAGGATGAATTTTGGCTTCTGGAAGTCGTGAAAATTTAAAAATTTTCGCCTGCGGCGCTAAAAAGAGATAAACACTTGTTTTTCGGGCCTTAGTTTAATAAAATTTTTGGCGTTTTGGCGTTTGGCGTTTTGGCGTCGTTTCGCCGATTTTGGCGTTCTGGCGTTTGGCGTGATTTGAAAATTTGAAAAATTGGCGTTTGGCGTTTGGCGCGCCACGCGAAAATTCTGGCGCACATCCCTGTCCCACACACAATTTCTATTGAGAATGTCTCTAATTGACATTCTCAATTAGAGACATTAACACAATGTGTGCGTTCTGCCTAACTATTACTGGTACTAATAGGTTTTTTCATCGGATTCCGGTAGAATACGATGAAATTTGAATTCGGCCATACTAAAATAATTAAATTTTTTAATGACACAAGAAATAAAATAAATTTTTCTCACAACAATTTATAGAAATCGGGGATGGGAGCAGGCCAATGTACCGTGAGCCCAATGTACCGCCGAGCGATAACTTTGTCCAAAATGGTCGAATCCGTGGCGCCCTGGTAAAGTTCGATTCAGCTGGTCGAGACGCATCGAAACATACAAGGGCGCCACGGATTCGACAATCTTAAACAATGTTATAGCTCGGCGGTACATTGGGCTCGCGGTACATCGGGGTGTACCCATCGGTGATGATTATTACAAAAAATACTCGCTATTGAACAATTAAAATATTTATTAAAAAATGTCAAAAAACAAAATTATAAAAATTTATCTTTAAAATATTATTTAAAAATCTATGTACATATTTTGAATATCTTATAAATTTCCCTCAGAAAATCCAGCAGCTTTTTTCCTTTTCAGCCCATTTATTTGTATTGTTAGTAAAACTGGTACAATAAATAAACCATGAATCGTGCCAATGATTCTAGTAAATTATAAATTAATTTCTATTTTAGGAATTATTAAATAGGGTTGAAAAAGTATTTTTCAATTAGTTTTAGAAATCAGAGAGTATCCAAGCTTACTTATTGGAAAAGAATTATTTGGACTAGTACTTCATAAAGAGTCCAACCCTGAAGATATCCTTCCTCGATATCTTCCAAACCTCCTGATATCCTGATAGTATACCAAACTCCGGATACCACAATAGTCCTCCAAATCTCCTGATATCCAGATATTTCCCTTAATCTATGACCGGACGAAGGGTTATTTAACTTCATTTACATATACTCTTTCTGCAAGTACGGATACACCAGATATTTTGTCCGAGATCCCTTTATGTAAAAATTAAAGTACCCTAAAAACAAAACAGTTCTTGCAAACGAAGCAATAATTTCAATTGAGATAAAGAAGAGTGGGAAAATACAAATTATTGTTGAGATAACAGCCTTTAATTAAAGTTATTTTTTAATTCAAATCAAAATTATACCTCAAGCATAGGCCTACCAACAACCTCAAGTATTTTTTCTATACTTTTTTCAAGTTCTTTTTGTTCGAAAATTTTAATATTTTTTATTGGAGATTCTGTTTGAATTTCCTTTTGTTTTTCTTGCAAAATATCAAAATGATAATAAATGTGAGCTGAGAAATCGACAGAAAGACCGATAGCCATTAATAAATTGATCATTGTAACCTTTAAATTTTCTTAAATTTTTATTTGAGATATTATTAGTTTGGCATTTTCAAAACGCCAGACATTCATGGACCTGGCCCGGTGTCAAATATAACTTAAAATAAATAGATCTCAGGCTTTCTTTCATAATGATCCATAATACACGTAAACTTCAAAAAGCTTAATTCTTAAAAGACACTACAATCCCCAGAAACAGTGTCTTGGGCACGCCCCGGTGGCCCTAAAAACATTTTCATGGATACAGCCTGCCGTACAGAAAATCTTAACATGGATCCGGCACAGGGGTCCGGAAAGCCCTTCCTGAATCAGATCCGAATATATAATTTTATAAATATATAGGTATTTATAACTAAAATATTTAAATTTACCGGGTCAATGTCTTGACCGCACCAACCAAGTGTGCCCAATAATGCTTAAAATTTTAAATATATTTTTAAATTTTCATGAAATTATTAACTATATGAAATTGAAAGAACGGAAAAAGTAGCAATTCCTGTACATCGTAATGCGGGGATGACGAAAAAACAGATTAAAGCCATGCATGTTAATGTCACAAAAACTGCTTTCAGCATTTCTGTCTAAAATTTGACAATCAAATATAATAAAAAATTTAATATGTACCTTAACTCCCAAAATTACCGTATTTCCTAAAATAGTACTCCCCCCTGAATTAGTACTCCCCCCTTAAATAATACTCCCCTTTGGAGGAGGGTTGAAAAATAGTACTCCCCCCTTAAATAGTACTCCCCCTAAAATAGTACTCCCCCCTAAAATATTTTTCCCCTATATTTGAAAAAAATCATAAAAGAAACATTGAATTATTCTATTGAAATTTACTTATTGAATTATTTTATTTATTCTGATTAGGGTTGTCGGTTTCACTTGATTCTTCGATAACCGAAACCGGACAGTTTTCGCTTACCGAAAACGAACTGAAATTTTAACCTATAATATGTTCTGGATTGATCAAGTGGGGTCTAAAAGTTCCAATTCCCCTAGTTCATCTCTAACTAGATCAAGTAGTATGGTTTGATAAAGGAATTTGAGAGAAAAATTAAGGATGAGTGTTCGGGACGCACTCATTCCCGAGCGTTCGGGACGAAACCCTACTTGTTATCACGCCTAAATATGGATATCCTAGAATTCGTAAGGATATTCGAAGAAAAAGAGATGTGGAGGATAACGGTGATTAATGCTGATAAATCCCTGGACACAGCGATTAGGTACATCAATTTCTCAGTGACATTGAATAATATCGGCGGATATATGCGGATTCGTAAGATTATGAGTCTGAAAAGATTAAGGGGGATATCAGTGTTTTTGAAGGATATCTAGGGAATTTGACACATACAAGTGTATTAACTGGTCGGGAGTTCAAGATGGATATAGTGGTAAATTTAGATATCTACCCTTAATCGATTAAATCCCCTTATACTCCTCAATATCACTCCAAATTAACTAATATCCTTCTTGATTTTCCTCAATACCCCTTATTTTATGTCACTTGTGTTTAAATGTCCCGAAATTTGCTCAATTTTATAATAATTTGAATATTTTTTGAGAGCTTTTAATAATTAAATTTTTTGAAAATCCGGGTCGGATCAGGCATTTTTCAGATAACGAACTCAAATTGATTTAGAATTTTGAAATAAATTTTCTTATGATAAATGAAAAAAGGGTTGAAAAATAGTACTCCCCCCTGAATTAGTACTCCCCCCTTAAATAGTACTCCCCTTTGGAGGAGGGTTGAAAAATAGTACTCCCGGGAGTACTATTTTAGGAAATACGGTAAATCATAAATAGTCGAATCATAATCAAAAACCGAAACATTAAATTTTGGAAATTGATCAACAATATTTCTTATTTTATCAACAAAAAATGCTCTTTCAAGCCAATTCAAATCTCCTTTAATTATTCAAAATATATCAAATTTTTTATTTTGCTCTAACCCCCACGGGAAATTCCAAAAACAAAACTGTCAACAGAAATATTTCCTCTTTAAATAAAAACTTTTTTGATAAAAAAATAAAATTATACTAACAATCCAAAATCTCTAAATTGCACAATTCTTTTATCATCCATTCTTCTCTCTTTTAAAAATTGCGGAACCAAAGAATAGTTTGGTTGGTAATTAATTGAATTGTTTAAATTTATTTTATTTTTGTGATACTAAAAATAAATTTTGTTAAGAGGATAGATCAAATATTTAATTGCACAAATAAAAATTTCACAATACTTCGTTCCTTCTAAAAATAAAATACCACCCTCACTCGCTCACATTCCCCCCCCCTCCCTCTCTCTCCCTGCTTCTTTTTCCCTACCTCCCTGCTTCCCCACTTACTAACTCCATATCTCTCTCACACTCCCTCCCTACATCCTTTGATCACACCATCCCTCCCTCCCTGCACACTCCCTCTCTGGATCCCTCTATCACACCATCCCTCCTTAAATGCCTCTCTACCTCCTTATCTCCTCGACTCAGTCCTTATCCCTCACTTACTTCCAAATAGCCATTAAGCCATATTTGAACATGCAAAGTATTTGGTAAATTTTGTATAATATTAATCATTTTGTTGAAATTGTCTAATTCTACAGGATCAGAAATATTTGGAGGGTGAAAGACAAAAAACGAAATTGGAGAATGCTAAAAATATAAAAAATATTTTTCTAAAATTAGATTTTAGACACATATTTCATAATTCTATTAAATATTTTGATTGTATCCTGAAGTGGAGAATCGCCAGGAAATGTTCTTTCTGGAATAAAACTGGTTTCCATTTGATTAATTCCAAAATAGGCTAGAATATATGAGATGAAGAGGAGTACAAATACAGATATTTTAGCTCGAAATGAAACGAGAAATTTTGAATAAAAACGTAGAAATGATGAAGAAAATGAAGATCTGAAGATTAATAATAATTATATTAGATATTTTTTATTTTTTTGACTTAGATTTCAAATTCTAAAAGTTAAATGTGTTAAATAAGCCCTTTTAGTGGATTGGATAGGACTTGCTTAGGTTTATTGGGAATGATGAGTTAGATGGGACTCGATCCTGAGAACTATGATAAATTCATGAATGATAAATTCATGAATTGTCTTGTATTTCATGAAAAGCATAATGATATTTTTATGAAATTTCAATGCAATATCTTTTAAATTAAGTAAAAAATTCCTTTTACCTTTCCTTTTTTAATTTTATCATTCCAAAAAGAGGCCAATTTTCTCTTTTTATTGTATTCTCGTTTTCTTCAGCTTTCCATTTAATAAAAGGGAGACAAGGTGCAAATATTAAAAATTCAAATAAAAAATCCAAGAATATAGCAATTGAAGTACACAAACAAAAATTGGACATTAAAGATGATGGAGAGAAAATACCAACTCCAAAAGCAATTCCATTGGTTAACGAAGTTATTGCTATAGAAGAACCCATTTCTCCAAAAACGTTTGCCATTCTTTGAGCAAATTTATCTTTTTAAAAATTATTTTGAGAATTAATTAAATGTTTTGATTTTTAAGTAAGGAATTATGAACTAAGAGTAATGCCCAATGAATTCCAAATAAGGGCATTATATTATGCCCAAATAAGGGGGCATTATATAAGGGCGTGGGGGCATTCTGTTAAACGTGGGGGCATTCTGTTAGAGGTCATTCAATTGAGAGAGGTGAAACGTTGAAGAATGCCCTGTTGGAATCATCGTACATAGGGGCATTCAAATAGGGGGGGGGGCATTAATTCGAGGATGATATTTTATTGAACACTTCTGAGTCGAAAAATGGTCGAAATTTTTGAGTCCGGTTTCGTGTTTCTGCTACCAAGCCAACGCTTTTATATGTAGACAATATGACGAAACAAATATTTTTACCTATTTTTTGATTACATTCTTTATTCTCATTTAATCCTTTTTGTTCAATTAAAGCCCATTTTCTCCAAGAATGTATTAATAAAAAGGCATTATCCACCCCAATACCAAAAACCAGAAACGGCATTATGGGCATTATCGAATTAAATTTAATTCCGATCCATCCAATAATCGAGAAAGCAACAGAAATTGATAATAGAGGTGAAAGTAATGAAGAAGTAATTAAAATAAACTTAAATAAAAAGTAATTTTTTATACCCTCATCATACCTCGTATCAGGCTCCTGTGATAGTTCTCAGCGCTAGCTCAGGAGTGGAGAGAATTAGCTGAAATGGGCTATAGCTATTTCTCCTACAGCTAATGCAAAAGATTATTCAGGGTTCTACATAGGTGCTCCAAAATTTTGACTTGTACATTTCGCTTTCAGGTATCCAAGAAATACTGACGCTATCATCATTTACCGTATATGTGATTACTCGATATTAATTAATTTCCCCATTAATTACTCTTGAAACAATAATTAATTGTTTTATTAAAAAATTACTTGAGATTTCCAATTAAAATGCCAATAAGCCACAACCAAAAATAAAATCATAGCATCCACCCCAATACCTAATAAACTTGTAATTTTCTTAGCACCCCTCATCATTTCATAATTAGCTAATTGATCAGTATAAATTAAAACTTTGAAAGTTAAATTATTTAAATCTCCATTATTTATATTATTAAACAATTTTAATTCCAAATTATTTAGTATTTCCATTTGATTTTTATTTTTATTGTTTCCATCAAGTAAATAACTTTAAATTACCTAATTAATTTAAAAATATTTTTGAAAATTTTTTACTAAATTCCAATAGTTTCCACAGATTCAATATTTGAAGGAAACTTTTCTGAATTATTTCCTTGTCTCAATTTAACACCAAAAAAATGAGAATCCAAGAGAACATCAAAACCATAAATTTGAGATATTGGAAAGTCCAAATTAATTTGTCTATTTAATTTTGAGGTTAATAAAAGCGATGTACTTTGTAATTGATATGCCCATTTAAATGCGTGAAAAAGATAATTCATATCACCTTTGCTGGTCTAATAATTAAATACAATAATTTAGTTAATTATTTAGCTCGTATAAATACCACGAGTAATTAGTGTTTCACCCTCTCAACGGGGGGAGGGGGAAATGTGGAGGAAGCGGTATCCGAGGAAATATCGCATCTGAGAGCACCCTAGCTATAACTATTCTTAAGTGGCTATAGTTTAACCTCATGCTGGGTAGGGGTAATTATTTTAGTGGTTTTCTTTTTGGAGAGGGGATTTATTCAAGCATATAAATATTGAAAAAACCTCAAAATTCTTTAAGCGAACAACTCTTTGACTAACATTATTTCCTTCAGAAAGCCCCTCAAAATTAATTTCCAAAGAAAGTTCTTTTATATAACGATCTAAAATCTCCACATCTGAAAGCAATTTATCATTCATGATTAAGCGTTTGTCTAAAGTTTTTGGTTCCAAAAAGATTAAAACAAGATCTACTCCGTCTATAGAAACATCATAGAATTCAGCAAATGCCTGTAAATAAAAATATTTATAAATTTCATTAAGCATGTGTGTTTCCAAAAAGATGTAAAGATCGACCATCAAAGCCTTAGTATGAGTATCAGTTATTTTGGTCCGGACTTAAGCCTCAATGGTAAATAATGATAGACCTGAAGATGGAAGGATAATGGGATTAGAACTAATCAAGCCAGACTTTTCGATTTCGTATATCAGGAACCAACAATCCTAAAAGATTGTAAGTACTACTCCAAGTCAACTCTTAGTTGAGAAAAATATTTTTAACTTATAATTCTACCTTCGATTCACTTGTTGCCCTTCCATTTTTTGGAGAAAACCCTCTCCTTACATCAGTTTCGACTTTAATGTCATTAATTAAATAATAAGATAATGATGGGAGGAATAAAAATAAATTTGTTAAAAAAAAAGTTTTGGGCCTTTTGCCAACTATAAAACCAATTTTTCGAAATAAAGATGATAAACTCATTAATAATCTACATAAAAAATATATTATTTATTTTTTATAAATTTAGATTAATTAATTTTTTAAAATCTTGTTCCGAATATGATTAATTAATTAAATAAAATAACATTTACATTGTGTAAAATAATAATATAACGATGGAATAATATTATTCTGGAAAAATTATTAGGATTGGACACAATCAGAAAATTAACCACTAACATGTTTTTGGTTAATCCAAATCTAAAAATTGGAGGGTACCTTTTGAGTTTTAGTTTAATAACCGTTTTATTTTGGGGGAATATTTTTTAATTGTTTATTTAAAAAAAATTTTTTTTGAAAATTTCATAAAAACGGCATATTTTTGGCAAGAAATATCAAAAATTTCGCTTCTTAAACAAGTCGTATCTTAAACAAGTCGTGCGCCCCCCCCCCCAACAATTATGTATTTACTAATTAATTTTTCAAATTATTAAAAAACATAAAAAATCGGTTGCTATAGCAACTGATTTTTCATAAAAATTTTATTTAAAATTAAAGAAAATTAATAAATATATTTTTAAATGTTAAGAAATAGTAAAAATTATTAGCAAGATTTATTTAAGTTTTTAAATTATTAATTATAGGTTTATTCGAAAATAAAATTGCAGTTAATATTGAATTAAAGCCTATAAGAAAAATAAATGTTTTTATTTAAATAAATAATTTAAAAAAGCCTTTAGAAATTAATTTTTTATAAAATTTAAAGTTAATTTATCAATTGTTAGGCGAATGAATTAGTCAGAATAAAAATAAATTTTACTAAAAATAAGTTTATCTTCTTTGTTCTCTACTGCAAAAAAAGAAAACAAAAATTTAATTTTATCGCGAACAACCAGTTTTTAAAAATGTAATAGGAAAGTTGAAATTTAAAGAAACGCGCAAAAAATTTATAAAGTATAGATAATAAGTGTGGTCTTTCCGTTAGGGGAAGTAAGATTTACCAAAGGAAGGACTTAGATCCTGCGATGGAAATTGAAGAACCCTTTAGTTTCGAGAACGCGGCTATAGCCATTAGTAAGACTGCTATGTTTAGAATTAATCTGGCGTTCAGTTTCACGTGGCGGAAAATACAACAAACCTTCGATAGGAAAGAATACTTTATGGAATTGTTAGGAATTCCCCAAAACGTCATACCTGAAGCAAATTCGTCCGCGCCACAGTCCTTAGTGACTGAACAAATAAAAGCGGTAGTCAGCGTGCCGCAACCCCTGCAGGTGAAAGAAAAGCAAGCTGCTGAGGAAACGGAAATTAAGGAAATGTTAAGCAAAGTGGATTTAAGTTTGGAGCCGATGTCAAATGAACCGATGTTGAGCCCTGCGATGTTAGAAGAAATGGAACAGGAATTACTTGATGAAGAGGAAGAAGACGAGGACAAAGATACAGGTAACAAGAACAAGCGCAAAAATTCAAGCAGCCCCCGTCCAGCCGGAAGTTTTTTAAGTATCACATTAGCATTAAGTTATCTTATTTCGCTCTTAGTAGCATGCTTAGCATCCCCGATGATATGCCCGAAGGGTTTGAATTCGAAAATAATAGAGTTTAAGCGAGATAAATCATCCTGTGTTGGGATAGGAAATTTTTTGACACAACCACTGAGGCAGCTTAGCTTAGATATTTATAAACCGAACGAAGAGCTTTTCTCTTTTCAAGCGTGGAGGTGTTTGAAAGTCAGCCAAACTTTGCAATACAGAGTCGACCTTTTAGGGTACGAGCATAAAAAACCGATAATACAGACGATTTACCCGCTTTCGGTGGAAGAGTGTCAAGAGATGGTGCACTATAGGAAATGCGCATTTGGGGCGCTACAAAGAAACAATGAGCAGGAGGGACAGGAGCACACAAATAATCCATTGAACATTAATCCCAGCTGGTTCAAGCTAGGTTGGGACAGCGCGGAGGCGCACAATTGCTTTCTTATGCAAATGCCAATGGTAGGCAGACCCGGCTCGCTTAGACTTGAAAGTCCCTTAGAGGACGTAAGTAAGTGCGATTATACGCAGGAGCGTTGTAAACTAGCAAGTGGCGCGATGGTCGTTTGGAACCTCAGGGAAGTTGAAAAAGCGATAGGAAGGAACCCGAAATGCCCTTTTGTAAAAATGACCAATCAAAAGGGAACATACACTAAGGGCATATGGCTAGCGGAGGACAATGAAAGATCTTTGGTATTTGAAGACTCCGCACCAAGGTTAATGTCCTGTCAAGGCGAACTGAGAGTTAGTCTATCAGGTTTCGCGATCCCACATTACCAATTCGACACTTTGATGTCAGGGGCAGAACATAAAATTAGGAATAAGAGAGACAGAGAGTTCGTGTCAGTTCAAGAGATGGTCGCGCACTTACAAGCAGAATCGCTCTACCAGAATAGAGAGTTAAAAAAGCTATTGAACTCGGTCGCGAGCATGCTCTGCCATAGTTTGGATAAGTCAACTAGTAATGTTTTGAGTAGCACGGACCCCACACTGTTAGTGAGAGAAAAGTTCGGTACCGAGTTATTGGAAGGCCGTTGGATAGCCGATAACCTCCTAGAGTACTGGACATGCACTCCGGTCAACGTTAGTTGGATCGCGTCCCCGTCTAGGAACTGCCATAGAATGATCCCGGTGAATGTGAGCTTAGACGCACTAGGCACCGAACGGGTCTCAGGGTTTTTACACCCGCGCACGCACATATTTTCGGAAATCTCGGAGTCAGCGCCTTGTGCGGAATTTCAGTTCTTAGCAACGCGAATAGGTGGCAGAATCCTGAGTATCAATCAACTGACCGGGGGCACCAGAGAGATTCAAGACATTATAGTACAGCACTTTGATGCTGAGTTATGGGAAGGAAAACCCCCTGAATTCCAACTACAAGTGTTCCGAAAGGCGGCTATAACTAATTTTTCGGACCACCATTTGGACCTACTAGAGATTATGGAGGCCTTTAAGGCAACTAGAATTGCGGACGCACGTCCTGAGGAAGAGAGGCGCGCGTTGATGAAGCAGTATATTAACCCCACGATTCCCTCCTTAGGTGAGATGATCAAGGATATAGACGGGTGGAGATACCTTACGAGGGCGGTCGTATTGGTATTACTAGTGAAATGGGCCTTAGAGCTCTATGTTTGGGTACAGGGGTGGTACACCAGGAAAGCTTTGCGAGAAATAATACGGGAGCGCAAGAAAAGTTTAAAGGATTTAAATTTACAGATCGAACCTGAACGTGCTGGTGAAAAGAGTGTTGAACTGGGGAAAATGCAGTGGTGAACTCATTTCTTTTTTGGCTGGCAGGATGTCAAAGCTCGACATTTTTTGGAGAAATTATTATGACTCATTTTTCAGATTTTATTCACGTGTTTCTTGTTCTCTCCTTTATTCTTTGTACACTTTCTGTTTCTTAGGATTAATTTACACTTTACATTTCCCACAACCACTTTTCTATTTCCGCCCTTAGAGGCACGATTATAAAAACAATTTCCTAGCTTAAGCTTTGTCTTTTTTCACTTAACACTTAATAAAAATAAAAATTGTTTTAAAACTTTTTATTGCTTTAATATTTATATTTTTGAATAAAAATTATTTGGAAATTTATTGTGGAAAATTAAATATTTATTATTTAATTAAATATTTCTAATATTCAAATTATTTTAATAATTTCGATATTATTTAAATTGTTTGGTTGAATTGCTGAACCTGTCGAAAATCAACATAAAGTTACACCCCTATGAATTGAACTGTTTTGATATTTATAAAGAAAAGGTCAAAAAACAAGATTTTAAAAAATTATCTTTAAAATATTATTCAAAAATCTATGTACATATTTTGAATAACTTATAAATTTCCCTCAGAAAATCCAGAAGCCTTATTCCTATTCAGCCCATTTATTTGTATTGTTAGTAAAACTGGTACTATAAATAGACCATGAATTGTGCCAATAATTCTAGTAAATTAAAAATTAATTTATATTTTAGGAAGTATTAAATAGGGTTGAAAAGTATTTTTCGATTAGCTCTGGAAATCAAAAGATTTTACAAGCCTAATTATTGATAAAACAATTATTTGGACTAGTAATTTCATAAAGAGTCCAAACCTGAAGATATCCTTCCCCGATATCTTCTAAACCTCTTGATATCCAGATATTTCCCTTAATCTATGACCGGATGAAGGGTTATTATCTTCATTTACATATACACATCTTATTCCCGCCTAATCCCTCATCGCCTTATCCATCCTGATCCCCGGATTAAACTAATATAGTAAAGAAATAAAAAGGAATAAATAGTGTGATAAAATTTGTAGCTCTTCAGGTTGCCCCCTTATAAGTATCGGTAAAAGGTCAATCGCTATAATTGAGATTTTTGTTCGAGATCCCTTTATATAAAAATTAAATTACCCTAAAAATAAAACAGTTCTAGCAAACGAAGCAATAATTTCAATTGAGATAAAGAAAAGAGGGAAAATACAAATTATTGTTGAGATAACAGCCTTCGATTAAAATTATTTTTTAATTAAAATCAAAATTCATACCTCAAGCATAGGCCTACCAACAACCTCAAGTATTTGTTCTATCCTTTTTTCAATTTCTTTTTGTTCAAAAATTTTAATATTTTTTATTGGAGACTCTGTTTGAATTTCTTTTTGTTTTTCTTGCAAAATATCAAAATGATAACAAATGTGAGCTGAGAAATCAACAGAAAGACCGATAGCCATTAACAAATTGATCATTGTAACCTTTAAATTTTCGAAAATTTTATTTGAGATATTACAAATTTGGCATTTTCAAATCGCCTTTCCGGCAACCAAGCTTTCTTTCATACTGATCTCTAATACCCGCAAACCTCAAAAGGATAATTTTTCAAGATACCCGATTCGCGGGCTATCAAGAATAGGTCTACAACAGCTCGGAAACCCACTCATTGGCCCAGATGGCCCGAAAATGCTTTGTCGTGGACCTGCCTGCGGTCCTGAAACCCTTGACCTGGATCCGGGACAGTGATCCGGAAAGACTTTTCTTGGCTCCGGCCCGGTTTTAATTACATATCCCCTAAAATAATTATATGTTCATGACTAAAATATTTAACTAAAAAATTAAATTTCTACCGGGTCGATGTCTTGACCGCACCAACCAAGTGTGCCCAACAATGCTTCAAATTTTAAATATAATTTAATTTTTATAAAATTATTAACTATATGAAATTGAGAGAACGGAAAAAGTAGCAATTCCTGTACATCGTAATGTGGGAATGACGAAAAAACATATTAAAGCCATACATGTTAAGGTTACAAAAACTGCTTTGAGCATTTCAGTCTAAAATTTGAAAATAAAATGGGGAATAAATTATCAGATTATTTCCAAATATAAAGGGCAGGCTTAACAAATGGACAGAGCTGGGATTTTGAATAAAAATCTCAATCATTGAGATCTAGATGGTTCGTTCGCTTTACTTGATATTCTGTGTCCATATTATTTTAACTTACGGATTTTTAATATTGATAAAAATCTCGTCAAATTTCTAGTAGTATATCCTTGAATATATTTAGTCGTATCCACGTTCAAATATTAAAACTCGAATAATTGTTCCCTCTCAATTACTCACCCCCTATTGTGAGGATTGAAATAATGATTACACAGGCTAATTATTTTTTGATCAAATTATAAAAATTTAATAATTACCTTAACTCCCAAAATTAAATCATAAATAGTCGAATCATAATCAAAGACCGTAACATTAAATTTTGGAAATTGATCAACAATATTTCTTATTTTATCAACAAAAAATGCTCTTTCAAGCCAATTCAAATCTCCTTTAATTATTCAAAAAATATCAAATGGAATAAATAGGTGTTTACTAACCCCCACGAGAAATTCCAAAAACAAAACTTTCAACAGAAATATTTCCTCTTTAAATAAATTTTTTTGATAAAAAATAAGATTAAACTAACAATCCAAAATCACTAAATTGTACAATTCTTTTGTCATCCATTCTTCTCTCTTTTAAAAATTGCGGAACCAAAGAATAGTTTGGTTGGTAATTAATCGAACTGTTTAAATTTATTTTGGTTTTGTGATACTAAAAATAACTTTTGTTAAAAGGATCAGATAGTTAATTTCACAAATAAAAAGTTCACAATACTTCGTCCGATTCCTTCTAAAAAATACTACCCTCCCTCTCCTTCATTTCCATATCCTTTCTTTCGTTGCATGCGCCTCTTCACCTCCCTCCCTCGCTGGTTCCCAATTACTACCTTGGTATCTTTCTCACGCTTACTCCTTGCGTCTCTCCATCAAACCATTCCTCCTTAAATCCTCTCCATCACTCCATCCTCCTCATCACACCATCCCTCCCTTTCCTTACTTATCCTTCACTTACTTCCAAATAGCCATTAAGCCAAATTTGAACATGCAAAGTCCTCCCTCCCCACTTACTACCCCGGTAACTTTATCACCTCTCCTCGCGTCCTCCATCACACCATCCCGTCTTAACTGCCAATCTAATCTTATATCCTCATCTCCTTCCTTATCCCTCACTTACTTCCAAATAGCCATTAAGCCAAATTTGAACATGCAAAGTATTTGGCAAATTCTGTATAATATTAATCATTTTGTTAAAATAGTCTAATTCTTCAGGATCAGAAATATTTGGAGGGTGAAAGACAAAAAAAGAAATTGGAGAATGCTAAAAATAAAAAATATCCATTTTTCTAAAATTATATTTTACATATTTCATAATTCTATTAAATATTTTGATTGTATCCTGAAGTGGAGAATCGCCAGGAAATGTTCTTTCTGGAACGGAGCAGTTCAACTGAGTCCGCACGATTGAGTCCCCACGATTGAGTCCGCACGATTGAGTCCCCACGATTGAGTCCCGGCACGATTGAGTCCCCACGATTGAGTCCGCACGATTGAGTCCCCGTTGTATATACCTCAATTGAGTCCCCGTGGATTTAATTTAAAAAATTCCATATCTTGCATGCGGGATTATTTCAAAAATGTTACGGGATGGAATAAGCTGACAGAATCTGCTTGCAATACATGATTCTTTTCAGCAGATTTTTTTAATTTTTGAAGTCTTAAAAAATTTCTTTATTTTTAAAAAATTTTTTTTTGAAATTTCTAATTTTTTAAAATAAATGCCGGGCAGATTGTTCCTGAGATCTTACAGCTTTTATGCACCCTTGTTATTAGCTTATCTTGTTTTTCATTTTTTCTAAATTTCTAGTTTTTCATTTTTTTTCGTAAATTACACGCTTCTCAACAAGTTTAAAAGGGTACCACGGTCAAGGTGGAGGAACAGAGCTTCAGCGTGGAACATCTGTCGGCTGGCATTGATGTCTCGCAGCGGGATCGGGAGGAACGAGCCCTCCACTGGCAGAAGACGAACCAGTGGAGGGCATCGACTCGTGCCGAGAACTTCACGAAACTGCAAGGGAGACCATCAGTAACGAGGATAATGTAGTGCTGGGAGAAGAAGAATACCAAGATCTTATAGCCAATGAGACGGAGAGGGAGGAGGAAGAAAACTGAAGGCGAAAAAGAGCAGCCGCGCATGTATATTTTGGAGATACATATACATGCCCGGATATACCTCCTAATCTTCAAATACAAAATATATCCCTTCATATCCACCGATATCCAACTTGATCCCTCGATGTCGCATACATGTCCTCTAAAATTCACTTTAAGCCTTCAATATCCCGGATATCCATCTTAAACCTTTTGAAACTTATTAAATCCACGGGGACTCAATTGAGGTATATACAACGGGGACTCAATCGTGCGGACTCAATCGTGCCGGGACTCAATCGTGCCGGGACTCAATCGTGGGGACTCAATCGTGCGGACTCAATCGTGGGGACTCAATCGTGCGGACTCAATTGAGGTGTACCGTTCTGGAATAAAACTGGTCTCCATTTGATTAATTCCAAAATATGCTAAAATATATGAGACGAAGAGGAGTACAAATACAGATATTTTAGCTCGAAATGAAACGAGAAACTTTGAGTAGGAACGTAGAAATGATGAAGAAAATGAAGAAGATCTGAAGATTAATAATTTTTATATTAGATATTTTTTATTTTTTTGACTTAGATTTCAAATTCTAAAAGTTAATGTGTTAAATAAGCTATGTTACACTGTACCGCAAAATATACGTCGATCCCTTCGAAAAATTTATCCCTTCGAAAACGAATTTTTCGAAAAGTTGAATACACCTCTTTCAGTGGGATGGATGGGACTTCGTTGGGTTTGATGTGAGTGATGATTAGATAGGGCTCGATCCTGGGAACTCTCCTATGTTCTTTTTTCTCAAATATCCCTTCATTCTTTTTTTGCTTTATTTGCTAGGCTAAAAGGAAACTTGCCGGCCTTACATTATGGTGTCCCTAGAAATCCTATGATAAATTCATGAATTGTCTTGAATAGAGCATGATGATATTTTTGATAAATTTCATCAAATTAAGTATTTGTTTACCTTTCCTTTTTTAATTTTATAATTCCAAACAGAGGCCACTTTTCTCTTTTTAATGAATTCTCGTTTTCTTCAATTTTCCAATTAATAAAAGGGAGACAAGGTGCAAATATTAAAAATTCAAATAAAAAATCCAAAAATATAGCAATTGAAGTACACAAACAAAAATTAGACATTAAAGATGATGGAGAGAAAATACCAACTCCAAAAGCAATTCCATTAGTTAATGAAGTTATTGCTATAGAAGAACCCATCTCTCCAAAAACATTTGCCATTCTTTGAGCAAATTTATCTTTTTAATAATTATTTTGAGAATTAATTAAATGATGCTCAATGACCAATGCTCAATAACCTTCAATGATTTCTATTTATTGAATGCCCGGGCATTGTATCATCGACAAAGGGCATTATGTTCGAAGGGGCATTTAATTGAAGGGAAACATTCAAGAATAACTGGAATCATCTTTAAAAGTGGCATTATTAGAAGGGGCATTATATTCGAGCGTGATATTGTATTAAATACTTCTGGTGCGAAATAGATCGAAAATTTTCGAATCTGGTTTCATGTTTCTGCTACCATCCAACCATTATATGTAGTATAACTGACTTGATTTTTACCAAGTACTATTAAATTCGTACCTATTTTTTGATTATTTTCTTTATTTTCGTTTACTTCCTTTTGTTCAATTGATGCCCATTTTCTCCAAGAATGTATTAATAAAAAAGCATTATCCACCCCAATACCAAAAACTAGAAACGGCATTATAGGCATTATTGAATTGAATTTTATTCCAATCCATCCAATAATTGAAAAAGCAACAGAAATTGATAAAAGAGGTGAAAGTAATGAAGAAGTAATTAAAATAAACTTAAAAAAGAATTTTATCATACACTAATCACGTCTAAGGTCGGACAGCTCAAGATCAGGAAAGCTAGCTCACAGCGCTATACAAAACTATATTTGCTTCTTATCTTTTCCCTAGTTTGTCAAACTTGTCAGAATTATCACTTATAGTAAAGCTGAAATGTCTATAGCTACATATTTCTCCTCCAAAGATTATTCAGACATCAGGAAGTATCGATGCTCTGGATTGATGTGTATTTAATACATTTCAGTACAAGTGTATTTAGTATTTTAGAAATTAGATAATTATGTATCTGATTTACATATACAAAAAGTACATAATTCTAGGTGGCTCGATTCTGCATAGATTTTAAATTTGTACATTCCGCTTTCAGTAATCCAAAAATATTGACGCTTTTTATCATTTACCTTGAAACAATAATTACCCATGGTAATTATTTAAGCGTATTCAATATTTGTTTTTAATTTAATTAAAAAATTGCCTGAGATTTCCGATTAAAATGCCAAAAAGCCACAACCAAAAATAAAATCATCGCAGCCACCCCAATACCTAATAAACTTGTAATTTTCTTAGCATCCCTCATCATTTCATAATTAGCCAACTGATCAGTATAAATTAAAACTTTGAAAGTTAAATTATTCAAATCTCCATTATTTATATTATTAAACAATTTTAATTCCAAATTATTTAATATTTCCATTTGATTTTTATTTTTGTTTCCATCAAGTAAATAACTTCAAATTAATTAATTAAAAAATATATGTATTTTTTGAATTTTTTACTAAATTCCAATAGTTTCCACAGATTCTATTTTTGAGGGAAACATTTCTGAAGTATTTTCCTGTCTCAATTTAACACCAAAAAAATGAGAATCCAAAGGAACATCGAAACCATAAATTTGAGATATTGGAAAGTCCAAATTAATTTGTTTATTTAATTTTGAGGTTAATAAGAGTGATGCACTTTGTAATTGATATGCCCATTTAAATGCGTGAAAAAGATAATTCATATCACCTTTGCTGGTCTAATAATTGGATACTTATAATTTATTTTGTTTCATATGCTCGATAAATACCACGGGCAATTAGTATTTAAACCTCTCAATAGAGGGGATATAATAGAGGGTAAGGTATCCGAGGCATTGAAGGCAAATTTTGTATTGAAGGCAAATAAGGATAAAATTTATTTGGCACCATCAATTAAATCTGATCCAGATGATGAAGAGTATCTATCTGATGATTTGGATGATGAAAATAATGAATATATAATTTTTACACGTATTTTCTGATATAAAATAAAAATTTCTGTTAGTCTCGGTCAGTATCGTTTCTCGGTATCGGTCTCGGTTCAAAATAATGGTATCGGCCTCGATATTGGGTTTTTGTGTATCGGTCAATCTCGGTCTCGGGTGGCCGATACCGGTATCGTTTTCTCCAACTCTAGTTATAACTATTTTTATGTGTCTATCGTTCAACCTCACGCGGGGGGGGGGGAGTAAATATTTGAGTGTTCCTCTGTTTGGAGAGTCTATTTATTCGAGCATATACGTTATTCAAAATACCTCAAAATCCTTTAAACGAACAACTCTTTGACTATCATTTTTTCCTTCAGAAAGTCTCTCAGAATTAATTTCCAAGGAAAGTCCTTTTATATAACGATCTAAGGTATCAACATTTGATAGCAATTTATCATTCATAATTAAGCGTTTATCTGAAGTTTTTGGTTCCAAAAAGATCAAGACAAGATCTACTCCATTTACAGAGACATCATAAAATTCCGCAAATGCCTGCATATAAAAATATTTATAAATTTTATTAAGCATGTGGGTTTCCAAAAAGATGTAAAGATCGACCATCAAAGCCTTAGTATGAGTATCAGTTATTTTGGTCCGGACTTAAGCCTCAATAGTAAATAATGATAGACCTGAAGATGGAAGGATAATGGGATTAGAACTAATCAAGCCAGACTTTTCGATTTCGTATATCAGGAACCAACAATCCTAAAAGATTGTAAGTACTACTCCAAGTCAACTCTTAGTTGAGAAAAATATTTTTAACTTATAATTCTACCTTCGATTCACTTGTTGCCCTTCCATTTTTTGGGGAAAACCCTCTCCTTACATCAGTTTCGACTTTAATGTCATTAATTAAATAATAAGATAATGATGGGAGGAATAAAAATAAATTTGTTAAAAAAATAGTTTTGGGCCTTTTGCCAACTATAAAGCCAATTTTTCGATATAAAGATGATAAACTCATTAATAATCTTGAAAAATAAATAAAATACCTAATCTATGTTTATAAAATTAAATTAATTAATTTTTTAAAATCTTGTTCCGAATAATGATTATTTAATTAAATAAAATAACATTTACATTGTGTAAAATAATAATATAACGATGGAATAATATTATTCTGGAAAAATTATTAGGATTGGACACAATCAGAAAATTAACCACTAACATGTTTTTGGTTAATCCAAATCTAAAAATTGGAGGGTACCTTTTGAGTTTTAGTTTAATACCCGTTTTATTTTGGGGGAATATTTTTTAATTGCTTATTTAAAAAAAATTTTTTTTGAAAATTTCATAAAAACGGCATATTTTTGGCAAGAAATATCAAAAATTTCGCTTCTTAAACAAGTCGTGCGCCCCCCCCCAACAATTATGTATTTACTAATTAATTTTTCAAATTATTAAAAAACATAAAAAATCGGGGCTCTACTCCAGTTTATGCGTCCAATCGACTTTTATGCGTCCAATGAAAGTTTATGCGTCCAATCAAACTTTATGAGTCCAATTAAAAAATAATTGGATTTTTCTTGGTATTGCCAGGTTGGGGTATGGGTCCAAAGAATTTTTTCATGTTCGGGACCTACGCCCACTGGGTCTGGGACCGTTCCTTACCCTATCTCTCGAAATTTCGGAAAGTTATAATTGTTTTTCTGAAAATTTTAAAAATTGGCTATAACTTTTCGAAATTTCGAGAGATAGGGTAAGGAACGGTCCCAGACCCAGTGGGCGTAGGTCCCGAACATGAAAAAATTCTTTGGACCCATACCCCAAGCTGGCAATACCAAGAAAAATCCAATTATTTTTTAATTGGACTCATAAAGTTTGATTGGACGCATAAACTTTCATTGGACGCATAAAAGTCGATTGGACGCATAAACTGGAGTAGAGCCAAAATCGGTTGCTATAGCAACTGATTTTTCATAAAAATTTTATTTAAAATTAAAGAAAATTAATAAATATATTTTTAAATGTTAAGAAATGGTAAAAATTATTAGCAAGATTTATTTAAGATTTTAAATTATTAATTATAGGTGTACTCGAAAAATAAAATTGCAGTTATTATTGAATTAAAGCCTATAAGAAAAATAAATATTTTTATTTAAATAAATAATATAAAAAACTATTTAGAAAATTAAATTTCTATAAAATTAAAAGTTAATTTATCAATTGTTAAACGAATGAATTAGTCAGAATGAAAATAAATTTAATAAAAATATAATAAGTTTATCTTCTTTGTTCTCTCCTGCAAAAAAAGAAAATAAAAATTTAATTTTATCGCGAACAACCAGTTTTTAAAAATGTAATAGGAAAGTTGAAATTTAAAGAAACGCGCAAAAAATTTATAAAGTAATGAATATAATAAAGTATATATTATAAATAATAATAAATAATTATTTACTGATAATTAATTACATAATTACTGATATATGTATTCAAGGATTTTTCGGTATTCAAGACTGGATATGGAACACAACATTTTTACGTGGTTGGGGCATATGATTCGAACTGGACATCCTTTATCTGGAATCATTCAATAGTTTATATAAATTTTAAGTTTTTAGATCCTCTAAAATTATAAAAAATGAGTATGACAATCCAAAATTTATCTTAATAGACTGCTAATGATCAACTAGAAATTATTTTGAACAGCAAAAAATGCTTAGAACCCAAATAAAATCTTGAAACCCAAATAGAAAACTTTATTCAGACCTTTATTTCCTTTTATTTTCGCTGAATGATAAGAAGTCTTAATTTTTCAAAATCTCATGTGTAAAATTACTTATCAAAGCAGAAATGTTAAAAATCAACATAAATCAACATAAATTTAAAAATTTTAATTTGAACAGCTAAGACAATATTCTTGCTATTGTTAAATGAAACTTTCATACAAAAATTTTTTGCCGACCATATTTGTTATATCGAGAGTTGACGATGATTATAAATTTTTTAAATTAAATTTAGTAATTACACAAGTCGAGAAATGTTTTATTTTTTAATTTAAAAACACTAACAAGTTTTGAGGAAATAAGAAAACAATTCTTTCTTATTTTTCTCAACATTTAAAATGGCCAAAAGGTAAAATAATTGTTTTGAGGGAAATTGCACTTTAATTGTAAACCCCCGCGCTCTCTTATAAATTGCTCTCTCAATTTTTTAAATTGAACAAGTTTTGTTATATTTATTGTTTTTTATTAATTTTGGCGATATTTTTTTAATGAAAGTACGAAATTTTTATTAAAAAATGTTTTACGTTAATATTATTATTTTACGTTAATATTATTATTTTTTATTTATAAATTTTTTTTGAGAAGATTAAACATTAACTAAAGAACATTAAAATAAATTAAAAATACATTAGAAAATTTTGTTCAAGATAAAAATAAAAGAACGAATGAGTTTTAAAAATGAGGGTTCTGGGAGACATTGTTAACTGATTTAAAGGGAATATTTATTAGTTTAATAATTTTTAGATTGAGTGTATTTATAAGAGGATAAACTTTTATACTCAAAAAAGTGGGTGGTAACTTGGAACTTCCATTTATTAAATTTTATTTAATAGAAGACACGCCATTTATTGTTTTTAAATCAATAAATTCATCAAATCATTTATCGAAATCTTTATTGCATTATTCAATATTACGGTTTTATTCAACTAATAAAAAATTTTACTTTTATTGACAGTTTTCAAAAATATTAAATTTTTTTGAATATTGGGCTTTGGAATTTTGG